GCAAAATTTCGAGATTTCGACTTTTACTTTTCTCTTTCATCCTTGCATCTTCTTTTGCATATGCTAGGTATTTACTAGGCTTCATTTCGGTGGGAAAAGATTTTTGGAAGACCTTTACGTTTTTCTTTGGCCTGTTTGACTAAATTATGTTCATTCGTATGCTTCAAGATTTCGGCTTTAGTTCCCCCTGCACAAGTTAGATATCAAAGTTGTCTTTGAACGTTACATGTAAAATTGATTTGATTGCTTTGAAATCAAGATCATGTAGGCTGGCTTAATTTAACACAACTTTAATCCGCCGCTCAACTTGGTTATATGCATCGACTTATGGATGTATGAACCAAAGAGTGCTACGGCCATGTGTAACCGTCAAGAAAATTATAAATTTTAATTAATAAAAGGATAAAATGAATGAATGAATGTATAAATGGATGAAGGAATGAACGAACGAACGAACGAACGAACGAACGAACGAACGAACGAACGAACGAACGAACGAACGAACGAACGAACGAACGAATGAATGAATGAATGAATGAATGAATGAATGAATGAATGAATTACGCGGGAAAAACGAAAGTCACCCCGTGACATTAGAAAGTTCTACATACATGGGTAGGGTAGGTTAAATTGTTCATAGTTCCAGGCTAACTGTTTCGGTCATGACTCTTCTTAATCGTGTGCAACGGGCTTAATTTATCACAGTATGTCCATCATGTGGTCGGCTCGTGAAGTTTGTTAACGATACAAACCAGTATAAAATTACCGTCTATCGTGAACGGTTTCCAGAGAAAACAGCTATTCAGAAAAACCAAAATAGCACTTGATGCACTCAGACATCACTGACGGCCTTTGGTGTCAAGGGGCCTGACGGCTACGCTTTTAGTGCTAATGATCCCCGAGGGCGATACAGCTGTCCGTGGCGCCAATTCCTGGGTGATATGGCTGTGCGCATGCCTGAGATACTGGCCAGGACGTAGATTTAGGGTGCGTTCGATCATAGTAGTAATCCCCTCTACCAACTATGGTTCGATTGGGAAATCTGGATTTAGGTTTTAATCCGGATTTCGGATTGGCAATCGAACGCGAAATCCGAAACCGGATTTCAGCGCTGAGATCATACTGAGATATCTTTTTTTGGATTTTCATTTTTACCGTTCGATTCGGAAATCCGAAAAAGGATTTTAAAAACTTTCCTTAAGAACAGCGGTCTTGCACGCGCACGCATCATTAACAAAAAGAACACCACTGTTCAAGAGAACAGTTTTGCAAATACTTTTTTGGATTTCGCAATCGAACGGAAAGGAAATCCAAGAAATCCGGCACTGAAATCCGACGCGTTTTTGGATTTCGTGTTCGATCGCAAAATCCGAAATCCGGATTTCAATACTGGATCTAAATCCGGATTTCCCAATCGAACGCAACCTTAGTCATCTAATCATAATCTGTGTAGCTCATTTGTGAGGACAGCTGTTGAAAAACATGGATATCATTTAGACTCCCTCAGTGATGTTGTTAGCGACTAAAACGGTCTTCGCGCAGACATAGTGATTACATCTTGCAGACAGACACTCAGTTTTAATTGAGGTTGTTCCTGTAACTAACTCTTATTTTTAGCCTGGAGAAAAAAAAAACTTTCAAACATGATCTCACGAGTCGTTGTATTTTAGGTGATTGTCGCTTTTAATTATGATACCGTATTTCCTTGAATAATAGCTGAGGCGATTATTTCTTTTTTCGCACCAAAAGGGGGCGAAATATTCACTCGACAGCTCATTAGAAGTCGTACCCTAAATATTTTGTTCTATTTTGTGCCATTGAATCAAAAAAAAAATCACATCAAATAAACTGAACATTCGCATGCAAAGTGTTCCAAATTTAGTTCCTTGATTAATTTTCAATGTCAAGGTCCTCGGCGTCAGGGGTGGGGGGGGGGGGGGGTTTATTTTTTGTGTTGATATTTCTGTCTTGGTTGGTGTTCGGGGGGGGGGGGGGCGGGGGGGGGGGGGGGGGGGGGGGGGCGATTATTATTCGAGGGGGCGATTAATCGAGGGACGGCTATTATTCGAGGAAATGCGGTATATAAATCGGCTTGGATAAATTCTTCCGGCAGAATTTCGAGCAAAATAAGCGATTTTGAGGTGAGCATTCTGCCGGCAGAATAAGGCATTTTCGAGCAGAATTTGAGCAGAAAAAGGGAAAATCAGCGGCACTAATGATATGCATAACAGTTGTAAGAAAAATTTAAAACTAAATAAAAAGCAAACGGAAAATACCTTGTGATTAATTTGATTATTTAATAGCTACAACGCATTAAAACATTGAATAAAAAGTAGGATGAATTAAAATTTTGCTACGCATAATGAATATCTAATTAGTTTTCAAGGGTTAGGCCCAGTCCTTTTTATATTTGCGAAAATAACATTTTTCAGATACCGTGCAGAATTTTGAGCAGAATGAGCGATTTTTACAAGCACTACCGGCAGGTAGAATAAGCCATTTTACGAGCAGAATTTATCCAGCCTATATATTATAAATCACCATTATTTACCTGGGTTTCTCTTTGAAAAGTTCGTCAGATCTTTTCTAGGCGAATGGCACAAGAAAAACCAACCACCAGTTTCCATGTTCCCAGAACACGTCTTCTAGACATTACAAACCCTTAATAATTGCTTATGTCTGAAATTATTTCGAAATTTTATAAATAGTGCTGAAGGCCAAGAAAACCTCCAAAACACAACATTTAATATAAATTTATACAGAGGTCAATATTTACTAAAACTCCAATGGACTAAATTTCCACTTAATAACCTTCAACGTTGCAACCGTCAAAGTTGGAGAAAATTGACCATTAACCGTCAAAGCTACCACCCTATTGAGAAGGCGGCCCTCATTCCCAACCCACGAATTAAAATAGGTTTCGTTAACCTTTGCAATAAGAAGAGTTCAATTCTTCTTCTTTTAAGCCTTAAAACTTGTAATGAATTTTCAAAAGACTCATGGCCGGAAGAGTAAACATTTTTGCAAAATTAAAGTGGTTGCTGACCATGAGTTTTATTCGGAGCCGGCTTTGACCTGAGGTCTACGACATTACTTAACTGAGGAGTTCAAATTCAAAGTACGCCCAATTTCGTTTGAACAATTACAATAATTCAAGCAATAGGTAGTTAAAATCTTTCGTATAGTGCTATATTTCCTTTCATTTATTTTATCTTATTAATTATTATTATTATTACTTTAATTAATTCTCTATTTTCTTCTATCTCGGAGATTAGCTTTAAGAGCTACACTGTAAATCTGAGTGTGTATGTAGGCCACCGAATTTACTTTGATTCGAAACATAGACTGCTAGCAGTCTCTTATTTTTCTTTGCAAAGCTACTCCACGAGTAAACAACCCTTACCAGGATAAGAACTGGGTGGATTTTCAAAGAAAAGGCGAAATCCACTCGGTCTATTCGAAATAAAAACCGCTAGGCAATAGAATTCTGTACGTCAAACGATAGAAAGCAAGCCGGCTACTGGCGTCTTCTGACTCTGGCAGTAATAATTATGGTAACTACTTTAAAAATCAAATTTGTGAAATGAAGAGAGAAATAAAGTTCAGTGAAACTTGTCCGTACGAAATATCGGGAAACTTCAAGTCACTTTAATTTGTCTTTGCTGTTTTGTTATCAATGTTTAAAGTTTGTCTTGGGTAAAACAGTAGGATTTGGATTGTTTTTTCACCGTGGCAACCTAATTTTCCGTTTGCTTTCTCATAAATTATTTTTTTTCACAAACATGACATGTGGAAACGACGGTATTTTAAAGAAACAGCTCTCCAGAGCAGCACCATGGCTTACGATGGAAAAACAAACAAACTAAGACGGTAAGGAAGCTGGAAGGACATAGATTAGTCTCCATGTCAGAAGCCCACAAATGCACACGAGATGACTAATCATAAGGTGACTCATGGTAACCATAGCAGTTGATGGCTTCATAAAGCCTTGCGTAGCCGACATGAATATTTGCGATGCCCCAACCGCTAGTTCCGTGTTATCTATATATCCGTTCACTGATCAAATTACATTCTGTAAAAAGTTTCTCACTGTGCTGCCTTCACTTACCATCCAACCACTGCACTGAAAGGCAGAGTTAACCACACTCTTGATTGAACACTGTGTGAGCGCTCAATTCCTTTTGTACGGTTGGCATCAATACAAATAAGATGATATTTGTTCACGAATACTAATTCTTGCAAATTAAAGTTGTTGGCCAGACAAACGTCATTCAAATAACCTTCAGGTTATATTTCCTTTTTCAAAAAACTGGCGATGCATTGATTTGAAAACGATCCTAGAGGCAATTTCTTTCTAGCAAACAATATGTGATTTATTCATGAATTATTTACTGCCGGGCAAGATTAAGGCTAGAGGATATGTTTTGTTGGTAATGACAGATGCACACAAATGTTTATATTTCACGGACCAATAATATTCTAGGGAATCTTTAATTTTGGTTCACCATTATAATAATTACATGGGTAACTTTGTTTAATTATGCCCACCGTTTCGAGGAAAATCCGTAAACGTCTTAACGTGGTTGGCAATATAAGCTTCAACGCCATATATCATTTATCTTTTTTTTTTCAAATGATTCACGGGAAGTATAATTTATAATTAGCTGCGCGGGCGTGACATCAAGAGAAGAGCAGAAGATAAATATATTTTAAGCCTTACACTGACCTACATATATCGTTCGAAGAATTATTTTTGATTTGATATGATCAAGTGGAGAATTGAATCGTTTCCTCTGCCAGTCAATGAAGTCTCTCCATCGGAAACGAGGAACGATTATAGTACTAAGACCGACAAAATATTGTTAAATGTCTGATTGCTCTACCGAAGAACATTGAATCAGTGGTATGATAATCTGATGATCGGCAACGTATGATGATGGAATAAGTTGGACATCTCAGGAGAAATTCTACCATTTACTATTCTACGTCTTCGATATGAAATGGCAACGAAGTGGGAGAAGGTGAAGTATATAAGGCGCGTGAGGCCAGATTCAGACGACGGGTTAACAGATGAATGTAATGATGCCATTGACGACTCCAAAGTGAATATAACACTCAATGGAGAACAATCGGCCCTTACGTCCCAAGAGGGTATCAAACTGAAATTCTACCTAGAGAATCCACTGTTATCTCAATCTCAACCGATTCTGAAGAACCGATCGAACAGTTGCTTATACTTGTCAGTTCCACAAAACATTGGAAGACAAAAGATTCATGAAGAAGCCAGAGGAACTTCTCCTTTGAGAAAAACTTCCAGTACATTTTCTTTGGTTAATAGCCATGAAATCGATGGAGATATTTCTACTCGATCACAGCCATCAAAAAATACTCCGCGAATACTCGTGAAGGATTTGTTTAATTCCAAAACCGAGTATAAATCGCACCGGTTAAAGGTAAGTTTAAACATCATTTACATAAACAAACTTACTTTATGCCGCAAAATCGCGGTTTTCCACATTTCTGTGTTTTATAATATATGCAAATTTCCCAATTGTGATAAAAGTACCTGATATTGTATTAAATGAAGTTGATATTACTGAGCTAGCAGATAGAGGTTTGGAAAAAGATCGAGTTTCGTAAATATTGAGTAACAAATAAATACTGAGTAACAAATAAACGAGCCCGAAGGTTAATATGTATCTCCATATGCTACTGCTCCCCACTGTATGAATTTTAATTGGTCACAGGCAAATTGCCATGCGATACTGGTTAATCTTGCACTAGTTTCGTTGCGTCACTCTTTTATAGCTCTGTTTGCAAGTAGAATAATGTCATTTTTGCAATATACAACGAGCCTCCCATCATTTCATATAAAAGAGCAAAATCGCTAGGAGATATCCTCGTTAGAGCAACTATAACGTCACGTATCACACCATCAAGAGCTTATGAGTCGTGTTTGGCCTGTCAACACCTTCCACAGATGGTCTTGATCAACGATCACTGAAGCGTGAACGAAAATTCAGAAGTCGTGCTGAAAATTTTCAAGGTCGAGTTCGAAATATGACTCGGCAAGTGTAACTTGATGAAGCGAGTTACGGCGAGCAAGGTCGTTTAATAAAAAGACGAGTGTAAAAACGTTTGCCAATGATGCGAAATCTGAAGGAAGAGTGTAAAATTTTATATTCGGCTATAAAATTCAAGTAGACATTTAAATGATGAATTTAAAAATCAAACAATGAATTTTTGCGGGGATCGTACGCCATAAAATGGGGGTACCTCGATAACACTAAACACTTGACAAGGAGTTTTTGGTCATTCTCCAACATTTCCTGATTATTCGAAGATTTCCGTAAACTCCCGAAGATTCTCGAAACTTGCGAAGATTTCCGGAAATGACCGAAGAAATCCGAAGATTTGCAAGGAGAAATCCGAAATTTTTTTACCTTATTTTTTCGTCCCTAATTTCACATGTGAAAGATATATTTTCTATAGTGTACAGATAGGATTTTTTTTTTTAGGTAAGACCCCTCTCCGAAAACAGTGAAACATTAAAAAATTGTCCACTTTAACAGCAAACACTAATAGTTATGGCTAAATAACAATAAACACTATATAAACCCTTATCCAGACCCTCTCTCAGGAGGAAGAACGACTTCACAGCGTTCGAAATATCGGGAATAGTTATTCAAGTCGCTTTGTTGTTTGCTGTTTTGTAGTTACAGTTTATTGGTCTTTGTTACTGCGCTTTTCACAAACATGGGAACTCTAACGTTCAAAAGCCGCCTTCACAATCGCGTTTTTCGCTGCCGTCAATCATAATTACGATCACAAGCAACGAACCTTGAAACACAGAAACACACAGAAGAGATCGAAATCCACCAATCACACATCACAAACCATGACCTTTTGAACCCGTTAAAGTAAAGTTTTTTTGCTTGACGGCAGTGAAAAACGCAATCGTCTGTTGGCTTTTGAACTTCAGAATTCGCATGTTTGTGAAAAGCGCAGTAAAACAGCAAGATTTGGATACCGTCATTACTATAAAAAAAACTTAGGTCAGGTCCCGAGGGAAACATTAGGACTCTCTCTTGTTTTATACTCATATTTTCACTCAAAGAAATAAGTTCGAATCAAACAAAGTAGGTACATATAGAAACACAAGTTTAATTCACAAAGGACAAAGACAACATCTGATCAGTGAAAAAAACAAGGGACTAATAATTACCTGGAGGGGAGGTTGGGAAATTAGAGGAAGACAGAGAGAGAGGGGGGTTTTATGTAAAATTTAATACATACAGGGGGGGCTTTACTTTTTCATTGCTTTTTGCAAACTGGAAAAGTAGTGGAAGAGTTATTAGAGTTCAAATATAAATACTAACATTGGAATAAAACTGACAAATTTATCAACTCTAAGGTGTTCTGATCTATGAACTGTTGTTTTCCTATCTGTAATGCAGTAGGAAAGGAATGCCTCTTTTATATATGTTTAAACAGTGCTACTTTATTTGCACTAGGATTTAATAAAAGAGGAAACTTTAATTAAAAGTTGCAAAAGTAAAACTATAATGTGATTCTGAATGAAAAAGAAAGATGCCAATGTTAGCACACATGGCATCACAATTTAGCAGAATGAAAAACCCAACTGTTGAAATTTTAATAGCAATACAACTTAAAGTATGGTAAATAAAACATGTAAAAGATGTACACGCGATTACCACCAGGCTGCTAAAAATGTATCTAAAGCAAAAAGGTCTTAAATTAAGTGGAGGCAAGGCTGAGTTGATTGATCGAGTTCTCACCCACGCACGCGGGAACCTTAATGCCAGAGACCACTGTAGAAGATGAGGAATCTCTCAATTCATGCGAAGAAGACACAAGCTCAGAGTCCAGTGATTCTGATGACTCTTCAAATGACTCTTCGACATACTTCGGAGAGTAATTTGCAGTGATTTTTGTACCGGAGGAAGAAACCCAACAAGTAAACTAGTCATGAGGGAATCAATAGGAGGAGACTTTTTTAAAGGAGGTTTGGGGGAGGGGGTTAGCCTTAATATTATCATTATGTGGAGGGGGGGGTTGAAATTAATTTTTGCTTAATGAGAGGGGGGTATGACTGAGTTTGGGGGTATATTTCACTCATTTTCCAACCCCCCCCCCCCCCCCCCCTCCAGGTAATTATTGCACAGTCCCTAAATGCTGAAGAAACGACTCACAATTTACTTCACAGTTTTTACGCATGCACAGTAGAGCCGAGGACCATCCCATGACGGAAAAGCCGGTGGCCTTTTCGGGTATAATGCTAGAGAGACTACATGCCGCTGTTCTCATAAAATCATTTTATCAATGGATCAGTACAAAAGTAAATTAAATATAACGGGATGTGCGATACTGATAAGTTTGACCTTTTCTTTCGTCATTCAATAACTACCCAAATTCTTTCGACCAAAACTGGTAAAAAAGCACCAAGGCACTTTATTATTTTGAAGACCACCTCGTTGTTACGACGGGATTTTATGGCCCAAAATTCACTTTAAAGGAGTTCAACTGTACTTGAAGTTAGCCTCTTTACAGGACAACGGAAATATTGCATGAATGCGACAGGGGTTAAACTGCGGCATTTTTGCAAAGAAGACTACCATGCAATCGTAATGAGCGGGCTGACCCCACAACTACTGAGATATACGATATAAATGAAAGTAAAGGAAAATTTGGTAGTAAAAGAAATTAGGCTGAAGTGCTCACTTCTGATCGATATCATGAGAGAAACAAGAATGATTGTAATCATGAAAGCTTCACCGAACATTCGGTTTATCACCTGACCCCGTTTCTGTAATATCTAGGTTTCATTTACGGTTAAAATGTCAAATACAGATTGTTGCGTTTTATAGCAATTTAGCAAGAATATCTGGTTGGTTTTCAAAAAGGGTCACTTTGCTCTTAGCCAATTAGCTCTTTATGAGAGTAAATATTATTCAATTTCAGTGCAAGGTAGCTCATTTTCTGTGGTTTTAATCGTTTTCATTTATAAAAGAGTCTTGTTTCAAGATATTTGTATTATGCTATTAAAAAGCTTTTTTCATCGTCACCCTTGCTAAAAAATGCAAAAATTTACCCAACACCGACTGTATGTGATTGATTATTTTCTTAAGTTTGACCAAAACTATTTCTTTTACTTTGCCGTTTATTATCTGAAGAATATTGAGTTTTAATAATTAAAATGTATCGACAGATGTTTTGGCTGCCTTTCTGTTTAAAATGAAACAAAATGATAAAAAATCAATCCTTCGACTTATGTCTATCCATGATCGGAGAAATTTTCGCGAATAATGAAATGCCAAAATTGCATTCCGGTACGATGCAAGGTAAATATTTAATTGTTTCCTTCATAAATTATTTTACTCTTGTGTCAGAAACAATTTACAGGCTACAAGCAAATTGAAAAAATCACGACCAAGTCCTGATATGTATTGTTTTCAGTCGCAGGGTCGGTTTCATATTTTTTTTGGCTCTTTAGCTTCTTTTGTGTGTTAACTGAGTTGCCCAATAATTCTTATAGACTCAAAGAAAGGTGCACAACCAATCTTGTCTTCAGCGATCAGGCGATTTAAAAATCTACTCCAGAATTTATTCGCCTACTCATAAATAGACACACACAATGTATTTCTCGATGACTTGTCTAAATACCTTGTTACTTCAGTGTTTGACACCAACCAGCTCATCACAAGTGAGCCCAATCAGTCAAATTTAGACTGACAATTTGATTTATATTCTTATTGTCCTTTTGTTATTCTGTAATTGTATATGTTTTCTTTTTAAAACATTTCTCGAGAGCCAGGCTGTATATATCAACTTATGCCGCAGGTGAAGTATTTCCCATCAAAATGTCTTTTAAGGATAATTAAGAGTCACCTGACCTAACTAGGTGAGCGTCAAAAATTTATTGAGTAAAGGTAAAAATACAGTCTAAGTTCCCGTTCTTCGGTCCCTCCGTCCATCTCTTCGTCCGTCCGTCAGTCCGTACGTCTGTCTGTCCGTCTGTCGGTCCATCTGTTTCCGTCTGTCTGTCCGTGACTGGAGCTGACCGCCAGAGGTATGATACTCGTAACAGGTCACTTGTAAACCAAGCTTTACGTCTATTTTATCTTTTCCCCGGAACTTAAACCTCTATTCTATTCTATTCTATTCTTTTCCATTCAATTCCATTCCATCCCACCCCATCCCATCCCATTCTATTCCATTCAATTCTATTCTGTTCATCAATTTAGTTCGCATGTTTCAGATTTTTTCCCATATGTTGTTTGATTCTTCAGTCTAGTGAGTATGGTGACAGCGAGAAGGAAACACTCCACACTCACTCAAGGAAAGGAAATACACAGGAAATCAAAGCGCTTCTTCAGCAAAACGAAGGTCAGTTTTATTATAAGAAGAAAACATAGAGGGTCAGAACAAACTTTTATAAGTTGATTAATAGTATTATATTTCTCAGTTCTTACGGGCACTCTGACTGGGCAGTTTAGCAGACCGTATCTCACTCTTACAAACTGGAAATTTCAAAGTTTGTCTTGGTTGCGATTCATGACATAAGCATGTTGTAAGGCTGTTCTTGCAAAGTACGTTTGTTTAAATAACCCGCCCTTAAAAACTACTACTGGTTCATAAAAGTAAACACCATCCGCGTTTACCTACAGACATTGATAAAAGAGATAATTATGGCAAAACCGCCCTCCACCATGCTGTATCAGCAGGACAGGCCAGCACAGTGAAATTTCTCCTTCATCACCATGCCAATCCAAACCTGAAAGATCACAGAGATGAGGCACCTCTACACGCCGCAGTGCGGACAGGGAACTTGGAAGTGGTGGAGGTATTCCATATTTTATTCGACTTTAATCAAGTGTTCAATAGACCTTTTTACCGATACGGCGGCAATATTGAATTTACTAGATTTAAGGAGTATTATGGGATGCCCAGGGGGCACTCGCTAAGTATTTAAGCGCGCTTTTCGGGCGAAAAGAGAACTTCACTGTATATACCTAGGGAAAAAGGCGATCATTAATACATCGAAACACGGCGCAACGATCTTTTTTGCCCATTACAGTCTTTTTTCTAGGAGAACTTAAAGAAAAATTGGCCTGAAAAAACGCGCCTAAATACTGAACGAGTATATCGGATCATGTTCATGCCCCCTGGGCATCCCATAATAGTCCTTAACTCTAATAAATTCAATATGGCCGCCGTATCGGTAAAAAGGTCTATTGGTTTCCTTTGTGATTGGCTAAGAAATCCTCTCTGGCCACTCCTTTTTTAAGTAAAAAAAGAATGCAGGCACGCATCGTGACTAACTTGATTTCCCTTCGTTTGGTCCCCGATACATCCATATGTTACAAGGAGTGATTGTTGTACTTGATTGTCACCAATAGCAGTGTCATTGTGATTTTTTAGTGGTCCTGTGGTTGCTTCCCTGGTGTGAAAACCTCTCATAAAGGCATGAAATAAAATAAATTCCAACTTATAGAATTGTTTTAAAATGACTTATTTAATCAATAGAATACGGTTTTTTTGTCTTTTTACTTTTTAGCCTTGTGACATCAATTTAAACCTTCAAAAAATATTGTTGACCTGGAAGAGGTACTTTGTGACATTACTTAGAGAACAAGCGATCCAAAAAGCTCAAATATGTGCAGTGTACTTTCAATTAAATGCCGTGTATTAAAAGCTTAAGACAAACATAAAAGAAAAGGGAAGCCCCTACACCAACTCACGGCGCGGCCAGTAACACACGCATGCACACAACCATATCACACGGGCAGTGGCAGCCATGAACAGCTGTTTCGCCTTATTTGGGGTCATCAGAATGCCATAACCCGGTCGAACCTCTGTGCGGTCAAAAGCCGCGTTCAGAGGCCCTTTACTTCCGGTGCGTGTGCATAGTCAGGCTCCTTAAAGCGCAAGCTCCACACAGAGCCTCAGCTAGGTGTCAACGACTTTTTTAGTATGCTAAAAGTAAAATGAGTGCACTACTTCGATACTCCGCCTTAATCCTTTGGCCTTCTCCGCTTGCCCCGTTGTCTGCGCGAAGTCTGGGGAAGGGTTCGGTGACGTCACAGGTCATGTTAGGGTCCAGGTTTGACCAACCAGAGAACTCCAATGGACTAGGCTGACAGTACTCAATAGTACAAATCCTTTCTTAAGAGTTTGTTCAACGGTGTTCTCGTTGCTTTCAAATAAGCTTTTGATTTAATTTTGAATACTGAGCTGCCTATCAAACTGGGAAAAACTAGTCAGTTATGGACAGTAATCTCAAACATTAGACTTTTCCTTATTTTGTTAGGTCTTACTTCACCACAAAGTAACCAATGTTAACATCGAGGGACGTAACAAGTACACACCGCTCCATAATGCTGCTTATCTGGAAAATAGAAACGCTCTTGAAATATGCCAAAAGCTGGTAAGGATAACTCAAAGGGTGAAAATATACCGGGGTGCGGAAAGGTATTCCCGAGGGGAGGGGGGCATCCGGGATTTGACCAAAATACAGTGCAGAATTCGGGCAACGTTACCGAGATACGGGATTAGACTGCTACCCTGGAAGCGGGATTCGCCAAAATTTGGGAAAGAAAACGATATTCGGGATAGCAATGACGGAAGCTCAGGACGCGGGATTCTCGTGGAACAGAGGCGGGAAAGCGGGATCACGATTTTTCCTTTCCAGATCCTGATTTACCACTGGAATGAAGTGGTGCCTTTTTTTAAAGCCAAATATAAGCAGGCCAAGGCACCTATGCGTTCGTAATTTATAAAGCTTCTTATCGGGTCCCGTCTGCGCATCTGTGTGGGTCCACAGTCGCCTGATACCTGATACCTGATACCTGATAGTGAAGTCAAAACTCTTGTGATTCAAAGCGGAATAAAAGCGCTAACTTATGTATAACCTTTTCTAAACTCTCAGTTGGTCTGGACGAGCAATAAGAAAGAAAAAACGAGCGCTGCCTGAAAATAAAGAAACTTTATCATAATGACGAAGAAATTTAGGAGCGATTACGTGAATATGGTAGGAATGGGAAAAGAACCACGAAAGCACCGAACTGTGACTGAAATATTGAAGGAAAGTCCAGCCTCCACTTTAAGACTATTTTCTCAGTTAAGCGTGTTTTGTTTTGTACTAGTTCATGATTTATTTCATCCTGTACATGTAAGAAACAAGAAGCTGTTTATGTTTATTCCAATGACAAAAGCAAACAAAATGGAGATAAGACGTGAAATTGTATGATATTCGCACTGCATACCTATATTGTCCCGACACGGGAAACTAAGTTATGGGAGGAGACCACGACTGCCAGGACAAAAGGCATGCCGAATAATGAGGGAATGCGAGGTCAACCAGCACCATGGGAGGTGGGAGGGGCGAAATTTTGGAGTCACTTCCACTACTGGCCAAGAGGCGGGCAAAAAACGAATAATTCTAGCCAAGGACCGCAATGCATCAGGCCACCAGCGCGCAGGCCCAACTCGACGGAATTTAAAGGAGTTACTTATTTCCCGCGTGACGGGTTAATTATGTATGCAGTGGGAATAGAAAACAAAATTCATTCTCTCTTGGTTTAATAGGACACTCCCGAGTTCCAAAAACTCTCACTTTCAAAATGAGGCCTAGTGCACAACCTTTCTTGTGAAAAGGAGTTTTATTTGCATGAGAATGAGAAATCATTTCCATATCAAAGGCTGAGCACTTAACCTCATTCTGATACAGAGGCCCGGAGAAACTCGGAAATGGCCTGTTGCCTGTAATAATGAGAAAATGAAGGTCGAATGTTCTTTTTTTCCTTTATTTTCAGTTAGACTGCGGCGCAAAAGTTACAGCTAAAGGAATAGATCAGATGACTCCACTTAGTGTGGCAGCTCAGAAAGGGTCGGCGGATATAATGGCCCTCTTTTTCAAGAAATGTACGTACGTTAATAATCGGGCATGTCTTTTGAAAATAACAAGTGGTTACGTAGCAACCTAGTTCGCTCCTTTTCCGTACAGGTCGGACGAGGTGGCCGAGTGGTTAAGGCGTTGGACTGCTAATCCAATGTGCTCTGCACGCGTGGGTTCGAATCCCATCCTCGTCGCACGTTTAATTTTATTGAATTTTATGTATTTTTAGTAAGTGTCTTTTCTTGGATTATGTAATGAGAAAAATATAAATCTGGTCTTTTTGGCTGACGTCAAACAACCGTGGCTTTTCATGATTAAAGAGCTCGTTGTTTTTATTTTTCGATTCATGTCCAACAGGCGATGAAGTTAAAAGAGGAACAAAACAGCAGCACGACCTGATCTACAATGTTGACTACGAGGGTAGCTCTCTTTTGCATTTAGCAATAGACAGTGGTGTTTTGAAGGTAACAAAGAATTGCGCATAATGGCCAGTATTAATATACCGTATTTCCTAGAATAATAGCCGGTGGCGATGATTATTTTTTTTGCACAAAAAGAGGTGATTATTCGGGGGAGGCGATTTTTTAAATATTCAAGGGAAGTCGTTCCCTAAACAGAAAAATGATCACGTCAAATAAACTGAACAAGGGCTTTTTAAGTGTTGCAAATTGGGTTCTATGATTAATTTTCAATGACAATATCCTCGGCGATAGAGCTTGAATCGTTAGTGATCAGTTTTGCTGGATCAGACTCTACTTTGACTTGGCAGGGAGTGGATAAAAGAAAGGGAAGAAGACCAGAGGGGTGGGGAGGGCGATTATTCAAGGGAAGAGATTATTTTAAAAAATTTCCGTCTAAGGGGGCGATTATTCGAGGAAATACGGTATCCATGCCATGATTTTTCATTTACCAGTTTACAAAGCCCCTACTTAGAAAAAAAGTATTATCTCAATTCAGTATTACAAGGTCGACAACAGTTCCCAGTTAACATTAAAACATACCTGTTCGCTACTTTACAGGGTTATCCCGGAAGTGGAACTCGTGTTCCGCCGTGAAATACACGAGGACTTGAGCTGGGAGCGTCCTAATCAGTAACGCGCCATCTAGACCACTTGCATCACCTAATAATTTGCGTAGAAGTGTAACTCTGTTTAGTTGTATAAGTAATTTTGTCACTAATTATTCTTCCTTAGTAACTTGAAAACTCTTAATTTAATTTCTAAACAGTAATTCTGTCTTTATGCCTATTACGTAACTTACACTATGAACTTCTTCAAGTTGTCGCTATATGAACTTCTTCAAGTTGTCGCTCCTAGTGATTCAAGCTGACAGTGTGCTTTTCGTTCATTTGCTATTCCTCAAAAACCCATAACAAAAGTAAAAAAACATCGTTCTTGTGACTGAAAGTCAAACACTTTTATTGTCTCAAAATAATAATTGTATCTGTTGATGTAGCTCAAACAAGTAAACATATTTTTATTGTAAGCGTGGAATTAATAACTGTCAGAATAACTGAAACAATCCGCAAAAATGATTTTCATGTAAAAGCGTAAACTTTCTTAGATAAGGTTGCTGCCGTTAAGTATCTTTTTGGGAGAGACACGCAGCAACCTTGTCATAGTATTACTGAATACTATGTATTGCCTTTAACAGTTATACGTATTCTCTTTTTATAATTTTTTCAGGCAGTTAAGCTGTGCCTGGATTCCGGGTGTTCTGTAGCAGCAGTAAAGGTATAATTTAGCCTCATAATCTAGTTTGAACACTTAGTGAATATTACCGATTTGCTCAGGCTAATGACCCAACAGACTTTTAGAAAGTCTATGTGTTTTGCTTTTCCGCTTTGATGATTTGGTATTCGGTTTTACAGAGGATAAATGGTGGTACTCCGATCCACTTGGCTTGCAGACTTGGCGCGCTGGAAATCTTACAATGCTTGTATGAACACGATCCAGCGGCCTTCAGATTCCCCTTGGTAGACAAAGAAGCTATGACCCCTTTACACAGGTAATCAATTTAGAAATTACATAGAAGTCTATTCATTCAGAATTGTAGTTTTCAGTTCAGCTCGAAGTTAAGGGGTCATCTGCAAAACACGAAACACAATGTCAGTCATCACATATCAAACATAACATGATAAGAGAGTTCAAAAGGCGATGGGTAGGTGAATATTTTTAAAAGGAACTTCGAGTCATAATACCGTAAAAGTCCGAAAATAAGCCCGTCCATGTACAAGCCTCTAAATATAAGCTCCCCAAACTCGAAACGGATAAAACCCCCGTTTAATCGTCCCCCCGAATTGTTAAAACTCCCGTGGGATTATACTTAAGAATTGCTCTCAAATACAAGCCAAAACGGTACACTAACACATATTTTTTTGTTTGCCTAAGAACTCTGGGGGCTTGGATTTCTTCGTTCCATAGACAAAGTACTTGCAAGGGCCGGAAGTTATATTCAGCCACCCTGCACCCAAACTCTTTCTGGTGCTCCTCGCTTTTCACCTGTTATCTTTGCGACGATAGAATATACTTTCATAAATTTCCTTCCAACTTTAAGCTAGCCCAATAGATTTTGAGACGCAGCTTTCCCTCCAAGTATAAGCCTAAGCCGATTTTGTAACACAAATTTCCTTCCGTATATAAGCCCATCCGAATATAACCCCTTCAAAACATAAGCCCCTCAAAAAGGGTCCATGAAAAAGTGAAAACTATAAGCTCTGCGGGGGCTTATTTTCGGTATTTTACGGTATAAAGAGAGAATGATTCTCTCCTGACGGTATTAAAGCATAAGTGACGTCATAAGCACATGCATTGATCTATCAGTTACTAATTATATAAGTATGGGTTTAGTAAGTAAGGTTACCATAAAACAGGCAACAAAAACGTGCAACTCGTTTTGCAACATTGCTGTAAAAAGAGTTGGAAGCGCGTTTTACCACTCACGTTCAAACCTATCTTGTAACAAATCAGAAATTTCTTATTGGATAAAACTACGCGGGAGTCACGCCATACAAGTTAGCCTTGGGCTGGTAAAACACGCAACATGTACAGATTTTGTTGCAAAAAGTAGAATAACTCTCTATTTTCTGCAACAACTTTCGCAACTTGCAACAACCTGATTTGTTGCAAGACATGTTTGAAGGTGATTGGTAAAACGCGCGTCTTCGCATTTCAACTCGTTTTACAGCAATGTTGCAAAACAAGTTGCACGTTTTCAGTTCTTTGTCGGTTTTACCATACCTTAAGGCGGCTTTTTTTCGCATCTTTTTATCATTTTTAAACCGAAATCTCATGGCTGGCTTCAAATCAGCAGCACGTTCATGGCTTTTTCATTTAGAAATCGTTCAGATCAGTCGATCTGCATCCGCTTTACTCTTAATGATGACTCTGGTTCTATAAAATTAACCTTTGTATTTCTAACACGCTTTCTTCTTGCAGATGTGCAATGTATAATCATGTAGGAGTTGTTCAATTTTTAGTGGATCATGTAAGTATCCACTCTGTAAATTCCTTTCAGTCTTAAGATCTCTTAATAACACTAGTAAATGGTTTGTCCTCGGATTTTCTTAATCTTCTCTCCTTCGTCTCTCCTTATCGTTTTCAGGGAGTAGAATTAAACCCACGAGACCGAGAAAAATGTACACCACTACTCTTGGCAGCGGCTCACGGCTGTCCAGCGGTTGTATCTTATTTGTTGGAAAGTGGAGCTGACGTCACATGTGAAGATGACAAGAAAAGAACAGCACTACACTGGGCGGTTGGTCAGGATAAAACCATAGAGCGGCTATTGAAGGTAAAATTTTATGCGCTGACCAGTGAATTAGCACGGTCCTGTTTAGACAGCGTTTTGCCAAACGTAAGGGCTATCTGCACTTCAGTGGGCCCCATCATCCATCGTATAAGAAGATCACGAAAGCAGCGAGATAGATGCTGGCCACTGATTGGGCACAAAATGATTTTTTTGCTCAATCACAGACAAACATTCGAATGAGTCGTGGAACTGATTCGTTAAGAGTAGTATCCCAGGGGCTCTCTCCCCCGTTCTTGAAAACTTTCGCCGCCGTTTTTCCTGACCCAACAGACGGGCAGTGGCGAGGAAGATAGTTTTGACAACATTCTGTCATTAGAGTTACACTAAATCCATTGTTGGGATTTTTGAAACGGCACTTTGTCCGTTATGCTTATTAGTGGCGAACAAGTTGCACCAGTCCGACGAGGTGGCCGAGTGGTTAAGGCGTTGGACTGCTAATCCAATGTGCTCTGCACGCGTGGGTTCGAATCCCATCCTCGTCGTGCTCTTATTTAACTTTTTTTTACTTTTGTTATATACTTTAATATGCGTTTTGACGATAACAGTAGAAGGAGCTATACAATATTGAAAATAAACGTCTGAAATACTGAAAAAAAGCATTGAAATTTTCTTGACACGTCATGTTTTGCGTTTAAAAAGTTTTTTAATAACTTGGTTTACACGCTTAACTTGTTACACAGGATCCCCTCGTACAGAAAATGAAGCTTGTGAACCAACAGGACAGTACAGGGGCGACAGCTCTTCATTACGCTGCACAAGGCGGGTTCCTCAAGGTGAGACTTATTTTTATTCCCCTCGAGTTTCATATTTTTGTTTTTGTTATTTCTGTCATTTCCTTTCCATTTCATTTTGCAGAGCGTTCTTTTATTGCTCAAGAATGGAACTGATCCAAGCATAAAAAACAATACGCTTGAAACTCCGCTTCATTTATCCGCCAGGTACAGTAGGCACATCAAACAACAGGGCTATAGTTAAGCTTTTGGGCCTGTTTATATGAGGTGAGCCAGCCGGGTTAGCCGGGATGGTCCGTTTTACCGGGCTGCCTGGCTCATGCCTTGCGTTCTCTCAAAATTGTTGTTGTTGTTGTTGTTGTTGTTTTTTTATGAGAAGGCGGCCGAGATCTCTGCACGAGCAACCGGGATCTCGGCAAGCGGGCCAGTTTGCCTTCTCATGTAATCAAAACACTTATTATATGAGGAAACAAAAAAACTGAAACAAGGCATGAAACCGAGCCAGTCTGGCAAAGCTTGCCAGCCCGGGTAAAAGGTCTGGCTAACTTCGTATAAACAGGCCCTTAATTAGTAGGCTTCTTGGTTCGTCTCATAAAACAGGCTTATCCCTAATTTAGTGCTCCTCTTAATAATGCTAAGAAAAAAAAACAATAACAGCAACTTCAACAGCAACAACAAGAGCTTTTTAAAGACTATTGTTGATTAATTTCCAAAGTGGTCTTGGTTTATTTCTTATGAAGCTACTGCGCGTTTAGTCGGCTTAAGCGCGGGTTTAGGTATCGCAACTGTGACTGATGACACTTTTTGCAAATCTACCTCATGTGTCAAGACTACAGTAGTTACAGTAGTTAATGATGTTATCTTCTTATGCTTGTTTGTTCAGCCATGGCTGGCTACCGATCGTAAAGAAGCTAATGGAGGGTCGACAGACGCGTTTAATGAATGTAGGTAACTTAAGCGATCACACACCTCTTCACTTAGCTGCTTCTAATGGACAAGACAAAGTTGTCAAATTTCTCTTGGACAGAGGTGCTACGATAGAAAGGTCAAAAGTAACTTTAGCTAATAATTATTTCAACTCTTCTAAATAATCTTAAAATGCCGTGTGTCAAAAGCGTTGTTGCACAGCTTGATTGAGGATAAAGTCATCAAACACGGCCTACTTGCATGCAGTAGGATAACAATAAAATTTTCTTTTCATGGTTTTAAGCATATGCTTGTGCTTGCTTTTAGAGTGCTCTATAGCGCAGGCTTCGTTCAGACGTTGCATAAACTCGTTAGCTACCGTGGAAGGCGTTTAAAGGCCTAGGGAAGAGGTGTGAGAGAACAGAAAGGACGTTCACATCGTGTTAACGTGCGCTTTTATTCCCCCTACACCTTTGAACCCCCACACCTTCAAGCGCCTGTCACGAGAACCAAGCTTAATACAGGGCTCGATAAAGTCATGAAAAATCTAAAAAGCGGTGAAATGTAAGAACTTCATTTTCCAGGCCTTAAAAGTCATGGAATTTAATGGTCGGTGATGGAAGGTCATGTAATTGAAGTTATTTGTGGTAGATTAGTTATTGCAAATTTCAAAGCAACTGAGGAAAATGTAACTGATAGAGACGACAGACGAGTAATTAAATAGCGCGAACGGGACGACCCATTTTGGTGGACACAAGTGTTTCTGTCTGTTTAACAGAGTTAGGCGAAAATATTGCCAAAAACAAGAAAAGTTTTCAAAAATTTCGAAAGTGACAGCTAAACTGACTTACGGTTATGGAAAACATGGAAAAGTTCATGGAAAAAGTGGTGGGAAGTATAAGTCATGGAAGAGCTCAAAAAAGTTTGAACCCTGTGATACGGGTGTTACGAAAACTAAGACCCTCGAAAACTAAGACCTAAGACCTAAGACCCGTCTTAGTTTTCGAGATTACGAAAACTAAGACCCCTAAATTTGCCGTTAAATTTGACTTAAAACTCGGTGGAAAGGATCGAACATGATATAATTTGAGTCAGATCAGACCTATTTCGGTTACAATTTGACTTTATATTTCGACGGATTCGATTTTAGGGGGTCTTAGTTTTCGTAATCTCGAAAACTAAGACGGGTCTTAGGTCTTAGGTCTTAGTTTTCGAGGGTCTTAGTTTTCGTGACACCCCTGTGATACTATTTAGTGGCTGTCCAGCATTCTTCTGGACTCCTTACAACTCTACATTCGATTGTTGGAATGTATTAAATAGGAAAGTTGACGTTTTAACAATGCAAAGTCTGTCTTTTATCATCATTATTGTTATTTTAGGGATACAGACGGGCGTACACCACTTCATTTTGCCGCAGCTAAGGGTTCATTGAAAAGCGTCCAGTTAATCTGTGCTGCGAGTTCTAACTGCATCAACGTGGAAGATAATGCAGACCAGGTAATTATAAGAAAATGCTGGAAAATACTATTTTCGATGAGAACAACAGATGCGAGTAAATTCCGAAATATAAATCACACTAATCTCGCTTCCATTCCATCAGGGTATGAGGATAAGTAATGGTAACAGGACTGAGTGGAGACCAATTCGGTCTGTAATCATACGAGTGATTAACAACATCGAATGACCACGTAGCGGGAGTCCGGTTTGTTTAATCACGAGTATGATTACAGACCGAATTGGACGACATGAAGTTCTGTTACCAATTAATCGTAACTTTAAAAAATTTGTGATATATAAGGCTCTTTTAAAAATCAAAACACAAGAAATTCTAAGATTTTTTTTCGCCAGCGATGAAAAAAACAAAACATTTCAGCGCGCGTAATGGCGCGCACTGTCCAATTACTTACTAGGCATGACACGTACTGTCCTATTAAACTGTTCTATTAAGGCTGAAATCAGGGCATTTGATAACCAATCATATTTGAGAATTTTGTTATAGTTATGATTAAATACCGTATAACCCCGCCAAAATTAGGTACGGCAATTATACACTTACCCTAAAAGCAAGAGTTCGGGACGTCAAACCGTGTTTTAATTTCACTTTATCTTTCTCCTACAGGACACTGCCTTGCATCTTGCAGCAAAAAATGGTCATTCAAGTCTAGTTACCTATCTCTTATCCCATGACTCTCAGAATGTGACGTATAATGCTTACAACCAGAATGCCCTGGATGTCGCCATAGAGGCGGGAAAAGAGTCAGTTGTTCTGGCCATTGCGGCGCATGGAAGGTAGCTAAACTGCGCTAACGACAAACATTGTGGTCGCACAATGCGGTCGCATAATCGAACAATGCCATTGCATTAACACGGGACCATTATCAACGCTGACGCAGTAGAAATTAAAGTGCTAACACTACAAATGTGGCCGTATTAACAGAGAATTAACAGAGCTCAATTTTTTTATTATTATTATTGTTAAGACTATCCCTTAAACTTTATACCGTAATACAACATAATAGCAGAGCCTTTTCCTAGGGCCTGGGGTTAGGATGAGGTAGGATATGGATAGTGTCTTTCTTAGGATATTAGGATATGAGATGTTCTAAGTAATGTGATCTTCTGTAGTTCATGCATTTTAATGCTATCTGGGATCTGTTGTGTATATTTATTTTTACTACTATTTGTTATTATCATTATTATTTGAAAAAGTGGCACCAGCGTTTTAGCGAATCACAAAGCTAGAAAATCCTCCCCATAAACAATGGCAGGCTATCTGCTCGAGCAAAGGCCTGTTATATTTACTCACGTGCGGAATAACAGACTACTCCCATATTCCAAACGTATCTTACTTCAGTTGTTACTGACTGTGTCGTCCTAACTTCGACTACGGAAAACTAAAAATGATTAATACTGACTTAATTTCACCTTTATTTTATTAGGTGGAGGGAAATGTGTCACCGCGTAGAAGAAGGCATAACACAACTACAGCGTCTTGTAATGAAAATGCCATTAGCCGCGGAGGTTTGAATCAGTGTTGTAAATTTTTTGACGTACTCTTACCTTCTTTTGGTAATTCTCTCTTAAGACATGGAAGTAGAAGCAGAAGCTATATCTCAGGAGAAAACGTTTCCTGCTTTGTTGATGACTATATAATATATAATCATTATTAAAAAGCTTTAAAATTATGACACCGAAGGAACAGTTTCTTAAGTGAATCACTGGAACGAAAAATAATAAGGAAAAATCAGAGACGGCCCATTTTATTTTCGAGTTGGAATCCTTCGCCTTGTCGTGGCCAAAAATAACTCAAACTAATGCTTGTAATTATATATTACTTATGTTTAAAGGGACTTAAACAGTTGGTTACAAGGATTGTTGCTAAGACACAAGGTTTTGACCACCGCAACTCGTCATTGTCAAGTTTTTCACTGTGAAAAAAATACGGACAGTTATGTTTATATGTGGAACGCAACCGAAAGAACGAGAACAACTAAGAAAAAAATTGCTAATAGATAAGGTAGAAGAAGAAATAAAGCAAAAAAGTTTTGCAAACGCACCTTCTAGTTTTCCATATTTTGAGACAATTCCCTTAACTGAGTCCTTATAAAGAAATCAGCCTTTATAATTTGATTTTCTTGTTCGTTTACAGAAATTCCTCGACAAATGTGTTGAGGAGAGCGGAGATAAAGATAAAAGTGAAGATTATACAGTAAGTTTATCGGCGTCACTTTACGACAGAATTACTAACTTTTCCACTTTTTCCTATTCCCTATCTCTCCAAACAACTCTTGCCTAATTTAACGTCCGCGGTTTTTCTTAATAACTGAGTAATTGATAGATTTACTGGTCCTACCAGTTTTTTTCTAGCCTCGTTCCAGTCCTCCCAGTCCTTGCTCGTTCCCACTAACCAAGAGACTAGAACATGGTCGCGTTTCTCCAAATTTCCAATCAAGCAAAGACACCATACAAGTACCACCAACAGGGTGATCGTGTGCTATAGTCGCAATACTTAACGGCGTTAGAGCTTTAAATCCGCGCTCTTTGTTTTTGGAGCAGAAAGGTTTCTCTAGTCGCTAAATCGTTCGTACGAATAATCTGTTGTTGACTTTTCGAGAAAAGGCTTGTTCCTCTTAGATGCAGATTCCTTGTATTTATTTATGTAGATATTATTTCCTTAGGATATTATAGTCATGTTATTAGTAAATATTATTTAATGCTTCAAATCTTATAATAGCTTAAAATGGAGTGATTTTCAGATCGTATTTTCATAATAGTTCATAATAAGGTCAATGATATCGTGCTTCAGCACGCCAGTTTTTGTGATGACAGTTCCTGATTTATTTTACTGTTTACAGGTAACGTACGACTTCACGTTGCTGCAAGGCATGCCAGACATCAGAAAAGATGATCCTAAGAAATATCTTGACAGTCTACATGTTAGTTGTTATAGTGAATATTTTATTTATTGTGACCTTTTCTCTTCAACGTAATCAGAGATCGTGGTCAGTTTACGCTGATAATTTTAGTTTTAGTTTTTAGTCTAATGATGGTAGCACTTTACAGCAGAATAAGGACAAACCTGTTTCCCTCCCTTAAATTACAGTTAGAAGCTAATTTATTACAGATATATTTACAACAAAATCCCCATACCTCTACAGAATAAACTATGACAAAAATTTTGAACACCAAAAGAAATCGAATAGAGTAGAAAAAACAAGCCAGAAATAATCATTAAAAAAGTAATTGACTGCTACATGATTAAAATTCTCGTCAACCGTTAGGTCTGATTGTACCAGATCACATACCTTTAATGCTAAAATTAGCGCTAGCCTTGAAAAAAGCGTCCCCTTTTACGGACCGGTCATTATTTAATGCTTGGGGGGAAGGGGGCGGAGGATTTGGGGCAAAACAAGGTGAAATTTAGCCGATCCCCCACTTGAATGTTACTTCACTGAAGTGATCCCCCCTAAGAACATTTGATGACTTTCGCGATTCTCCGCCCATGTATTCATTTTCCAAGCAAACTTGAGTGGTCTCCCAGCTGAATCCTTTTAAAGTTTTCAGTGATCCCCCCTTTTGTTACGACTGATCCCCGTTTCGTTCTCCCTCCCCCCCGCAGGCGATAAATAATGACCAGTCCCTTAGACTAAAAAAAAAATAGTATGCACCCCCTTAACACCCGTCCTTACTGAATACAGTCGACTCTCTCTTAACGGACACCTCTGTAAAACGGACAGCTAGAGTTGGTCCCTGCCTTTCTTTGCTCCCTCTATTTGACTTTCTATACAGCTAGTATAGGTGTCCTTCTTAGAGAGAGTTGACTGTATAAGGTAAACTGTCCTACATACTCTATGATCAGGAATAAATTTTATTATGAAGTCAAGACTCTGATTCCAAATATTACCCAGATACCTATAAACGGTTTAATCAATAAACTGATGAACTCTTCTAATTACTTTATCAATATACAATTCATAAAATATATTTCAGCTTGTTTTGATGTCCGTGACAAATTATTATCAAAAGTAACGTTTTTGCTTGTGTTGTAATTTTGATTCCTAAACATAGCTTTTGCAATACTGTATGTGCTTGTATGGTCATGCAAACAAAGCTCGTTGTTGTTGTTATTAAACACTTCATGACTGGTCCCGAGGGAAACAGTTAAAGCTTTTTGTTTCCCGAGAATCCGCTCAATGGAGCCAAACCAAGCAAGCGTAATGTACTAAAAGTGTTGTGATTCTCTTGACAGACCATGGTAAAATATAAACAAGTGAACTGCTTGTCGCATCCAGTTACTGGAGCAATCATGAACATCAAATGGTGAGATGATATAGATGTTAATGCCTACAAAAAAGAGAAGTGTGACGTGATGTTACCATGGTAGCAAAATTTCTGGATCTCAACAATTTTTCTTGACAGAGACAGCCATTTGCCTTGTCGAATGTCATGCGCAGGAGGGTCATACAAACATTTCAATTATTTCGTTTTTTCCTGCCGTATTTACAGGACCACGGTTTGTTGAGATCCAGAAATTTTGTTACCATGGCAACATGACGTAACGACGTCTTCTCTCTATTCAAGGCTTTACAAAAAGAAATAGCCTTGGAAACATTGTTAGTTATGTTGGACAACTGAGAAAGAGGTAACAAAGGTACCGTATGAATACTCGAAATAGCACCCCATTCCCCACTTGACTTAGCTATAGCACCCACTTGAGGTAAAAAAATTTTAATTGAGCCCACCACAGCTCTGATCAGGTTTCCTCCTCAAGAAGAAAAATTCCTGAATATCGAAAATGACCTAATAAACGTCCACCTCCAATTAAACGCCTCTTATCTAATCAACTCCTCCCCTAGGCTGTTAAAATATTTTTAGACGCCTGTCTCTCATAAACGCCCCCTGTATAATAGACGCCTCCTATGAGAATTACTCCAATATACTAGGAATTAGCTAAAAAGAAACAAAATCATTCAATTCATTTAGTTTTTTATTGATTAACAAGGCTTTGCGTATCTCATCTTGTTCAATGCCAAGTTTAAAGTAAGGACAAACTAACAATAGCAACACAATAACTAAGTGACGTTTAACTAACTACCACTAAGTGACGTTTTTAATGTACCAAAATTTCCTTTTTTTGTGTGATTTTTATCCAACTGATCATGTGTTGGTAAATACTAAAACAACTATCCCCCTCAGGTCGGTGAACAGCACTAGATATATACCTCGACGCTTCACTATTCCCTCCCCTTCGGGGGATAGTAGTTGAAAAAGAAAAAAGAAGATAGAATTAGTTATTTGATTCAACGTGTTTACTTTCAGGCGGAAAGTTGGGTGGAAGGCTTACGTCATGAATTTAGGATTTTACATTTTATTCCTTGTTATGCTGACTACTATGACTATATTACTGGAGGAGAAAACACATAGAAGCTCTCTGTTGAATATACCACGCTTTACTATCGTAATAATGAGTCTTTTTCACCTGCTAAAGGAATTATTTCAAATATGGGACGAGGTGAGTAGTGGATAGAGTCGATATTTTTTTCATAACGTTTTTTATCCAGCAATTTTTAGTCCCACAAACTTTAAACTTGTCAAGTAACCGGAGGGTCATGGCTTACTCAGGAGTAAATTGTTAAGATGGGCCACGAAAAACGCTGTTTACCTCTGCGGCAAATTTTTGATGGACGTAAAAGGCTAGACTTTTGTGTCGATCCTCTTGAGGACGAGGACTCAGTGTTACATGTTTTTGCACACCAAAGAAAAGGGTACTCTCATTTGTTTCATATAGGCTATCGCAGTATGTATAAACGTTAACGAATAGCTCATCATGGAGACACAAAAAATACTCCGACCTAGCATACACACCTTTCCACACTGCCACCAGGAGAGACACAGAAACCTCCAGGATAGGTGACCATCCACTTCAGTCAAGATGAGATCGGCGCGGCGCAAAGGAAAAGAGGAAAGCAGCACCAGAAACACTTAAATCACCGTTCTGACATGTGAACAAAATGGTTTTCGTACTGTCGGAAAAGCTATCCAGCATAATGTAGACATGTTCTAACCAGCAAGTTCCATCTTTTTCTATTTTTATTTTACACTTTCCATGCCTCTCCCGTCGCCTTGCTGCTGGGATCATTCCACCATCTCGTAAATAAACTGACCCCCAAAGAAGGTGTATTTAGATTGAAAGGACCAAGTTTCAAACTCATTTATTCGTTCTATTCGCTCACAAATTGAGTCATTGAACAATATACCATCGACCTAAGTGGACAAATACGAGAAGAGAGACCAATTGACTCCAGGCCGAAGCACCGCTAACCTGCGTAGCTGGCGGAATTGTTCTCGAGCTTTTCCCATTCTCCGCGCGGCCTCGAACGAAGCTGCTCTGCCAAAACACGATCCTGCCGGCTACGCATCGTCATCGGGATAAAGAATTGAACGCGGTACAAGTAGTTTGTAAAGTATTATACGCCCTTTTATGATGGATACTGAATATTGACGGACTTCTGTTTATCTTTTTTAGAAATTCAAATATCTTTTGAAGATAGATAACTGGATGGAATGGTTTCTGTATATGACAAGTCTTGTTTACATGTTTCAATATCGGGAACTCAACAGTAAAGCCGGAACGAACACTGAGTTAAATATCACGGCTGTGGCTGCTACTGCAATTTTTATCGCTTGGGTTATATTTGTACTTTATTTAAGAAGGTAGGTTATAATTAGACGTCGATTCCTTTCTCCTCCACTCACTCCTCTTAATAAGTAAAACAACAGCTTTGCCTGGCAGCAAACCTCATTGTCCCTTTCTTTGCCCTCACTGCACGACTACGAAGTGAAAATGCCTAATTTGGTCAGTCTGCCGTTTTGGTCCTCTAACTAATTTGAATGGTATTGTGAATTCTATCTTTTAGAAGCGCAAAAGTTGGCGTAAAAGCAAAGAGCGATAGCGTCCCCTAACCGGTTTTATTGTTGCCCCACCAGTTCGGGAACTGGTCAGAAGAGTTTTTATTAAGTAAAATTTGGTTTCATTTCAGGTTTTCTACGTTTGGTATTTACATTATCATGATGATGAACATTATACGAACTCTCGTCAAGGTAACGATAGTTTATTAAAATAATAATGAATTTCGCGATTATGCAACAAGTTACCTGTATAGAGAGGAAACAAACTCAAGGCAATGTCAGGGACCGATTTTTTTCTAACTTTTGATAGCAAAGCTTGTATACTTTGCCTTTCTCTTAATATTACCTTAAAAACTATGTTATGTGGCCCTTATGTGAATTCTTGGAGACAATTAGCAGTTTTTCAAGCTGATTCTTTTTCTATACGCCTTCCGTGGTTACCTGTGATTCGAGTATCTATTTTCGTTTCGCATGGTAAATATAATCCTAGCGCCGACCAAATGAGAGCCGTCAAAATTGTGACTGATCTCAAGTTAGTCTGCGGCCAAATTGAAACAGGCCCGGTACATTTATTTCTAGTGTAAGAACATAGTATTAAAAAGTACTTTTTCTGTCGCGTGAACCGGAACCTTTATATGTTTTTTCATCGTTTGAAATAAACCTCGCCTTTTTTTTAGTGTCCAGTTTTTCAAGATTCGACTATGTTAGTTTTACTTAACTGTTTCTGAGATTTCCTCTCTCTTCCATCCCACAGATCATTATTTTGTTCATTCCTTTTGTGATTGCCTTTGGAATACCGTTTTACCTTTTGCTCCGCGACAAAAGTCCAGTGAGTAACCACTATATTTTACAAATGAAAGGAAAAAACAACTATCAGGATTAACACCCTTAACGATCCCAAATTGTACGAAATGGAGATTTTTTATGTTGCGTTGACGTGTATGCACAGAAAACATAACCTTATTGATGGGTTTAGTGGAAATTAAGTCACTGCAGATTATAGCCTGCCAACAATACCTTTTCAGTCTGTCGTGTTGAGCCTTGCAAGCAGGAGTGGGGAGGATGTGCGTTAGCCTGCGTAACAAAGGCGGACGAGGGTAGAGAAACCGCGAGGAATATTTTTCTCGCCGCTTCGCCGCTCGTGCGCCTCGGCTCGACAAAACTGTCATGCTACACAGGCTAGGTATGCGTTTGCTTAAAATGCTCGCCCGCACGACAATCCTGAGGAACTACTAGCTTTCCGCCTGCGGATAATGGTCTGCTCATGTCCAATGACTGTGATTTTTTTCCTCTACCATTAACAGGAGAAATCGGATGAAAAAACTTACCTGTTTGAACGTCTTCCTTACTCCCTATTTACAACCTTTATGTTGATACTTGGAGAGATGAAATACCCGCATACAGTTTTCAAGTACCAACCTCTTCCATATCCTTGGATAAGCTATGTTGTTTATATCATTTTCTGCTTGTGCATGCCAATCATAATAAAGAATCTCTTGGTAAGTATATGGCCCTTTAGATGTCATTAGGAATGTATATGTTGAGTTATTTTTTTTTATCTCAGGTACTTTCTATTTTTCCTTGTTTCAACTTCATTAGCATACATTACCGTGCCCAAAAATGAAAAAGAAATAAAAATTACCTGAGATAAAAATTAGCTACGACATGTACACCACTGGTTATAGAGCTTTCTCACTCACGTGGTCAGTAGCTATGCAAATTTATCGCAACAAAAGAAAGTTGTTACTTGAGAAAAAGGTTCTACTCCCAGAGGATGGGTTTGGAACACCAACATGACCGCCGTTTCACTGTTTTGGTACAAACGCCGGCTGTATTTGCTATTTGCACATCTCCCATAATACACCTTATCTGCCACCCAAACATTTTCCATATCCTTTGTTTTTAATTTCTTCTTGGTATTTCAGTGGTCTCAAGAGAAACTGAAGACAATGCTAATATTTTTTTATTTGGGGGGCGGGGGGAGGGGGTGAATAAGGTGTATTTAACAATTATTCCTCGAGCCCGGATGGGTTATTGACTCAGAGGCCATGAGGGCGAGAGGAATAATTGTTTTAGTAAAATCCAACTAGTTGGTCAAGAATATCGAGACAAAACAACTTTAGCTAGCAAAGCGCGATTCAGCCGCCATTGTTTCAATTGGTTTTCAAAGCCGGCGCTTTTCGCTGCTAATGGGCTATAACATATAGCCTAGTAGTAGCTCAACCAATCAGAACGCAGCATTGATAATAGACCACAAGTTGGATTTTACCAATATGGAAGACACCCTATTGGCGAATAGTTTTCAATATTTTTACATTATCAGCGCATTGCTTAGCCGCGAATGTTTTGAAACACTAAACACGTAAACGCAAAGCAAATGCTTTTTACGGTCGAACCTTCAACGTGTGTTATAAGCCAACTGAATACATCTATAAGATGTTTGTAAAGGGGTGGGTTTCGCGTCACATGAAACGGGGACGTTAACTGGACAGTGAACAAAACGGAAGGAAGAGGACCATCATGAAAAATTACTAAAATACTCTAAATTTTACCGGAATATTCTTTTCCTGTTTAAACTCATCTTACTGAATTGTGATTTGTGAACCAACTACGTCCTCTCGCCGATGTCCTTAACAGGGGCAAGATATTATATTCGTACTCCGACATTTTGTCTTATATTATGTTCTGTACATTTCGTTTTCAGATTGGTCTTTCAGTCGGTGACGTCAATAGAATTCTTCAATCTGCCAAAATGGAGCAACATGCAATGCAGGTTTGTACATTCAAATAGAAAATTGCGCGTATGAGAACCTTGTCAGTGTTAACCGGTTTTGCTTGTTAGTTATAATAAGCAAGATTACTATGTTTTAATTCCATTACTCTTTAAGATGCTTTTCTGACAAGTCTATGACACAGTACACCTCAGGTAATTCGTTGAATAACAGGTACGGTTACGCAAAAAAGGAGTTGCGTCTACCCGCGCCAAATAGGGAGCTTAAGCAATTACAACGGCGTCGGCGACGAAAACCTTACTTAAAAAGTGCATTAGTGCTCATTCAAACTTCATTGCTCTCGTTTTATCTCGTTCAATTTGACAAAGGTTGGTGAATTTTTCTGCAGTTGAGTTCTGAAGGTCTGTATCTTAGTGTAGGAAAAGAAGAAGAAGGAAATCGTAGCCTGCGAGCAAGCTCTTCAGAGCGCGGGGCGGGAAAAGGAAGTAGAACTTGCAACTACGTCTCTGGAATTTGAATTCCGCCTCCAATTCCCCTGTGGCTCCCCTTCGACAAAGCTGCCAGATTTCCGCCAGTCAGTGCGAAGCGGAAACGAGCGCGAATGTAAACAAAAGTTGAAAAACACGTGAAAGCACGCGCCAAGGGTATTGACGTCATTACTAATGTCAGCTCCGCCAATCAGCATTTCGCATCGACTTTTTCGATGTAGATATTCAAATTCCAGGGACGTAGTTGCAAGCTATCCTTCCTTTTTCCGCCCCGCCGCCAGAGCGCCCCGGAGAGCTTGCTCGTAGGCTAAGAATATCGTTGTCTTATGTACGCTTTACTACTTTCTAGTAAACGTGAATTAGACCTTATTCACGATACCTGCCGTCTTTGCGCGCACTTTTAAAAGGACTATGTCACGTGGTTTCTCAAGGGGCAAAAAAGTGAAAAAAATTTCCAATGCAAGAAATCATAATCCAGTTTGTTTATTTAAGACAACAGAAAATGAAGAAATTTTCATCTTTAAGACGATATTGGCAAATTATGGGTGGAAGTAATCATTGTTACTACTTCTTTGGATTCAGTAGCGACCGTAGATGTCCTCACGGCAAAAAAAATGACTTAAATCTTGTCGAAACTCGATATGTACATTTTGCACGACTATTACGTCGTCGCCTCTTTTTTAGAGAATAAACAAAGTCGACCGCGATTACTCGCATAGGTAAATTTTATCTCTGGTTGCCCCCAAATACCACTAGACATTTCTTTTATTCAATCGATCCTAAAGCGCGTGCAAAGATGGCGGGTATAGTGAATAAGGTCTATTGCGATGTTTCTCGTGGCAATCGTTCAACTACGGCTAAGAAATCAACAAAAAAAATGTGATGCACGTGCAAAGTTGATGTTTTACCAAGCCCATCGTTGCCGGCGCCGTAGTCGTTGCGCCTAATACTATTACTACTGCCCGTTACTAGAAACGTGTAATCATTCAATTCCGTGACAATGTTCAGTGTTTTACCGTAACGCTCCCTTTCTTTTAAGGTCGAATTGCTTTTGGAATTAGAGCGGGCCACGCCCAGGAAAGTCCTTAGGAAAATTTGGGTCCCTTACTTCATTGAGTACCCTAACAGAAAAAGGACATGGATACAGAAGGTAACTAACCGTCTAATTTCCACCCCTCAAGGTTTTTCATCTTTTAATTAACTTGGACAGATTAGAGAAAATACATTGATACCGATGGAACGAGGGCCTCAAAATAAGTAAAGCTGCCAGTTTGAGAGTGATAGAGGTTGAGAATAAACGCAAAGCAAAGGTTGGGAGATTTTATAGACGTTTTCTGTGGTGAGGGTGCAAGTTTGTGCCTCCGCCATTCACAAACCTCTGTAGAATTTCGCGGCCATAACTTGGCTAGTTTCTAACATATCAGTCTCAAACTATGCAAGTAATGAACTGATTTTAAGGCGCCCTAAATGTAGAGGTGTTGATGGATTTTCGCTAACTGGATCTTTCAATTTTGTTTGCAATATTTTACATTGGAATGTATAATTTGAATCGAAACGCATCACTCAAGTTTAGAGTCTTCTCACCAAAAACATCATGAATTAACCCGACTTAGTTCACCATAAACCAGTGTTCAATGCCATCAATGGTACACAACCCTCTTTGACTCTTATGATGGCGTCTGAACAGGCTGTCAAAATGTCAGTCAACGACAGTCCTATTCATGTCAGGACTGCACTTACGCGGATGATCAAACACCTCACCCATTTATGACAGCAATTAGAACTGGGCTCAAACCGCTGTGTATCATTCAACAGCTGGTAGAGTTGGGATCTCCTAAGAAACACACAGCCACTCAACAGACTTACGTCAATCCCGCTCTGGTGCAAATAAATGAAAAGGTCACCAAACTAACGGATAAAGTTGAACTACAAGAGGACAAGTTAGTATATAAACTTTCGTAGCTATTTTTTTGTTGTTGACACGTCGATACTTAACTGAGTATTCATCAATGCAAGTACCTGGGCGTAACCAGGATTTGTGGCATCTCGCGTGTAGTCAAATTATTGAGTATCAGGGGAAGAGGGGACTTAAAACGTGCTTGACACCCCTGCGCGTTTTACTGCGTCTAGTAATAGCTTCATGCTCTTTTTTCATACTAGCAGCATATCAGTTCCCAATTCAATTCAATTTTTATTTTCCACTTTTAACTGGAAATTACTAATTAAAATTACTAAAATATATGTATTACATCTATAACATAATCTATTAGCAGAAGTTCTATGCAAGCTCAGCTGAGCTTTTTCCTAGAGGTCCCCTTTAATGTGTGCATTACAAACTCGAGTTGAATTTGGTGGCCTTACATATTATTAAGCAGCAACAGTAATACACTTATATATGTTCCACCATGTAGAGTCGATGTATTTCTGTTGAACAAAACATTTCAATTTTCTTTTAAACAACTGCAAATGACTTAATGTCCTTCAAACTATTTGGCAAACTGTTCCATATCATAGCACCTCTATATCTAACTGAGAAACGTCTATAATTAGGTCTTTCATCCTTAATTTATACTTTGTTTTGTTCGCAGACCTTGTATTATAGGAATGAATAGTATTATTAATTCTCCAAAAAGTAATCTGAAAAAGATGGCGGCAATTGTCCTCTAAAGTAAGAGTTTAACCCATATATTGTTAGTAAATTCAAAGAAAGGAATACAGGTCTTATTCCCTCTGCCCCTTTCAAGTGTCCGTTTCAGTCTGACGCTGTTTCCGCCTTTTCCAGCGGAGACAAACATGTCTCCAGCATGTCTACTTCCTCTTGTGATTAGCAGTTCTCTTTAATGAACGCTTGAGACTAAGGGGGTTGGGGTGGGGGGAATGTGATTTTAAATCGGTGAGTTTTTACTTCTTTCTTCAGATTACAAAACATCATTCGCCTTCTTGGAAGACTTGATCAAAGACTGACGGAGATGAGTCCTGGAGGGAAACCGCTGACTAGCACAGTGGATGGACATCAGGCAGTGACCAGAGAAACTTCGGTTAGACCTTGTCTTACAGAAAATAGCCCTTTTTCACGACACCCGCGATCTATTACACGGGGTAGATTTGAAGGCCGTTACTCTAGCCCGTTCAAGGCTCCAAGAAATGCGCGAAAACCGTGTGGGGGCAGGGAAGCGACAGGGTAGTGGAGCCTGTGAGCATTATTTTTAATACTTCATCTTGGTATTACCTCCTGACTGGTAAATTTTGACAGTTTACGTCAACACTTAGGTCAATCACTCGGCTTCTCTCGCACAACGCCAAACAAACATGGGTAATTTACCAGGAAGAAAACGTACGGTTTGGGCCGTAAAATGAACGAGTTTGTTGCAGCTAGCAAGTGAGATCATAATGATCCCACTTGGTAGCTGCAACAAACTCGTGTTGAGTGTGAGTGTTGAATGATCATCATTCGCAAGTAAATAGGGAGCAAGAAATCCCCAATCGTTGAAATATTCAAATTGAGGGCCCTTTATTTTAAAATTGCTTCTAGACAAAAAATGGCGGAGAAGATGTTTGAACAGCAGCAACGGCAGCAATGGCAAAGAAAAATTTTAAATCAAAATTATTTAATGAGGGGAGTGCACGTTAAGTCGAGGGCATTCTTATTATTCGATTATAATCGCATCACTGGTCTTTTTTTTTGAAGGGGGCTTCGCACAGGGGTTTCTCACCGGAACGTCAGCCTCCCGGAATCATGCGGAGGCCATCCATGGTAAGAACTTTGCATTAATTCAAATAAATTGCATTAAATATTGCAGGGACCGCTATTCTTTAAAGAGACTGACTTGGATTATGCATGATTCTTTTATTACGATTTTTGTTGGTGACAGTGGTGGTTTTGTTGCTCACGCTACTGTTTTTCTTTGATACGTATTTTGACTAAATCTAAGGAGTAGAGGTTGAGTGATTTTTACTAAAAGGTCAACAATTACATAATGTTGAAAAACTGAAACTTCGGATATTTGATAAAAATAAGTGTGGTTAAAATAATGACAGTATTTTACTTTCCGTATCTCTATTGTAGGAATCCACCGTTTGAGGAGTCTCGGCGTTCTTCATGAAACCATGAGAGATCTGCCACAGAAAAGTGGTACATTCGAGATTACAAGGCAATAGCTGCTACAACTCAGTAAATGGCTGGATTTTGATAACTGAGTTTTAGTTTAGTTCCGGTGGGACTGCAAAAGCGGATACCACCGATACAACTGACCGCGGTATCGTCATCATCGTTACCATCCCAGTGATTATCGTCATTATAGTTGGCAGTTTTTTTTTATTGTCGTGCAAGAGTTCTAATTAGTGTAATGTCTCACGACAAGTCAAGGACAAGCCATCAAAGAAAAATTTCCCAGTCGTTGTTATTGAAAGTGTTTTTACCAAAAGGAAAAAATCCACAACTCAAAGTCCAACCCGGGTCTTTCCTATCCTGACATCTGTCCCTTACCACTACACTATCAAACCCATCCGCCAAGACTGTCTTTCATAAGTGACAATTTAATGATAGGTGACCCGGCCTAGTCCTTTCAATTCAACTTTCCCCTTTTTTCTTGCTAATACCATTTCAAAAATGCCTTTGCCTTATTTTAACTTAATCGAGTGCGCATATTGCATCTTACGTGGTTAAAGGCAAGGTTGTCGATGATCGTATCGACCTTAAAACATGGCAAAGATGAAGCCATGAAAATTGCTTAAACATGTGCAGAAGAACGTTTAAGAAATGAAGGAAGAGATTGCAACACACAAAATATCTTTTTAGGAGCAAATTGCAAGAAAGAAGAAGTTGGCTTGAAACCGAAATAAATATTACGTGAATCATTTCAATGACAATTTAGTGACATAGAAAAAACTATTTCTTAGGTTACGTACCAGGAAAGAAATGCCCTTTTGTGGAGTTGTTACAATTAATTGTAAAAGGACATTTAAGACAACGAAAAAGATCATTAAATACTTTCAGTTAGTAACATTAAAACTTCTCCTTTTTGTGGCGCATATAACCATGATAACGTTTGCCACTGGAAAGAACGCATTTGACGCTTGAAGCGTGTTTGTAGTGTTTTATTAGCTGAAAATCACAAAATAATTAAAAGTGATTTGTCGTTTTATAGCCCCACGACTTATTTTGATGAGCATCTTTAATGTAAATATCACTCAATACGGAGAGATTTGTCCATAGTGTATATATTTAAATCTCGACATATTAGCTGTGAATCGTTTTTAAAAAATATTGCTGCCACAAATCCCCTTCCATCAACCAGGCTTGGTAGTGAAATTTGCTCATTTGAAGTAAACACGTATAAGGGCTAGAAGTTTAACTAGATAACATTTAAATTTCAGAGATATTTATAACTTTCTATGAGATATGAAGATCCTAACTTGCTTTTTATTTCAGCAGGCATGTCAGAAAATAATGAAAAATAAAATAAAGTTGTAATTTAATTTTTTCTCGTTGTTTTCCTTTTGTTTACCGACCCAGAACCAAGGCAGCACTAAACTCTTTCAAGCAAGATGCTTTGCTGTTTCTTTTTCTTTTCATCTCCGATCCATTAAAAAAATCTTCTTTGCCGTATGTAGAATATCTTTTATATCTGTAAGCATAGCAGACAAACCTTTCCTTAGGGATAGCAAATATATATATAGGGGATTGCGCGTAAAAATTGCCACGCGGAAGGAAGAGAGAACTTAAGAGATTTTTTTCACGCGTGCGCTTATAGCGCGTTTTTCGGTCGCTTACTTGAAGGAAAATAAGGTATTACTCGTATTCTGTGAGCACAGCCATACATAAAACCACGCAAACGACTATTTTAATCTTTAAATAATGCTTCACTTTACTTGTACCGCACGGGGTCTGTAAAATGAGGGAGCTTTAGCATCCCCGACTGACGACGAAGTCAGTGAAAACTCACAGTAAATTTAATGCAGTTGCGTTCTTACACACTGTATAGTGTTTATTTAGTCTGGCTCAATTTGTTAAATGCGGGCGAATTTCTTCATGGCATTGATTTCTTTTGGAACGGCATACAAGCTCTGAGTGAAAAAAAAAACCATTCCTCGTAGAAGTGTGTTCTCGTCCCCCATAAAACGTCATACAGTCAACTCTCGCCTTGCGGACACCCCGCTATAACGGACACCCCGATAATACGGACAGCAGCTAAATCCCCAGCAAACAGAAATTACAGATGTTTGACTGAAATCAACTCCAGCTATTACGGACACTCGCTAATGAGGACACTAACTCGAGGTCCCCACAGCGTCCGCTATAAAGGGAGTTGACTGTATTGGGAAGTTTCACGTCGTTGTCGGGCAGTAGACTGTAAATCAATTTGTCTTTTTGTACGTTTTCTTTATTATTGTCGTCGTAAATAGTTGAGCTCCCTATAAATGTAGAACCAAGAGTCACCATCTCTGCAAAATAATAGGCCAAAAGCACTAGACCATTCACATGGGAAAACCGGAAATTCCAGTTGGAAAACAAATGGTTCGCGCCACTGAATCCGTTTGGAAAGCTTCAGAAAATATGGGCTGTGATTGGTGGCAATGAAAAATTTCTATCCTTTTTAGTCTGTTCAGCTGATTTTGATTTACTTTGTAGCGGTTCGTTCTCCCACCAAGTGACTTTTTTTTAGTTTTATGTTTATGCACGAGATTTCCACCCACAGGTGGTTTGTAAATTGTAAGCACCCAATTTTGTGATGGTCCCGTTTTAAGTTCAAACTGAACAGAATGTTTTAAGACGCTTTTTCATGAATAAATATTATTAGTAAAATCCAGCTAGTGGTCTATTATCAATGCTGCGTTCTGATTGGTTGAGCTACTACTAGGCTATATGTTATAGCCTACTTGTAGCGAAAAGCGCGCGCTTTTTGGCGGCAAAAAGGGATTTACGTCTAGCTTTAACCAGCTAGTTGTTTTGTCTCCATATTTTTTACCAACTAGTTGGATTTTACTAAAACAATTATTCCTCTCGACCTCATGGCCTCTGAGTCAATAGCCCATTCGGCCTTCGCCCTCATGGGCTATTGACTCAGAGCCCATTCGGGCTCGAGGAATAATTGTTAATTAGTTTTTGTGAAGAAGAAAAAGATTACAATATTTAGAATTTTTTTGAGTTCAATAATCAATTTAAACTTTAAATAACTGCTAATAATGAGAAATACAGCTGAATCTATGAATGTAAACCTAAATCCAAATGAAGGGATGCCGACTACAAAACAGTTGAATCAAATTTAAACAATCTGTTCAGATGTTTTTCGCCTTTTCTGTTGTTAAATTTACTTTTTCAACATTCAAGAAAAGGCTTCCTTACAATGAGATGGCAAACTATGTTAATGTAATATTTATGTACTGTGCATAGAAATTTATAAAATCCGAACCTGTGATCCAGTTCGGAAATAGTTCAGTTGAGATACGGTGTGTGATTCAAGATGGCAAAGTTCTACGCTGTTTTTCTTCTCGCTCTTATCACTGGCTGTATGGCACAGTTTCCTGGTGAGATTATTACTATTCTTTTTTTTTCAAGTGAATTTCAGCCTTCACAGTTTTTTGATTTCTTATGAACATCGACTATAACCGGGTTTAAACTTCATTCAAGACGAAACGTTTTGAGTATGTAACTTCACTTTATTGAAATCAGTTTTTGAGTTTGTTTTTATGTCCGTGTGTTGAGAACATTTTTTTGTAAGCTTACATATATACTCATATTTGGCATCATTAGGTCCTCAATCATGCAGGAAAGGTGTAGTATTGAACGGCTATAGTATCTTTCTCGCTTAGCCCGCTCGCTCCATTACTGCGCGCGGCCGATGCGTTTCGGGTCGATTGGTCCCAGCCAGTTTTTGGCCGTTCGTCTCGGATATATCACCGAAATGTATTGACCGAGAAGGCATGGCAAGACGCTGTACATAGGCACGTATCGTTCCACTTACCTATGTAGTTGGAGCCAACAACTGATATTCGGCGACTCTTCGGCAGCGGTAATTCGTATGCAAAAGGAGCGTGGAATTTGTTTTGTCACTAAAACCAATGATTAGAATATTTTGCCGTATGCCGTTAATATCTAATCGCATCATTTTTGTAAATTTCAGTGCGTTTATTAATCAGTTTTTATTCATCTTGTCGTCTTCTTTGCCAGGCCAGGGTAACAAATACTACGGCTCGATCTGTGAGAATAAGAAAGGAATATTGCGTTGCCCAGGAACTCAAACCATTACAATCAAGTTTGCGAACTATGGCAGAACTCGATTCTTTAAGTGTGGGATGGGCTTTAACACCAAATGTATCTCTGAAACGTCTCTTAAAATAGTAAGTATTTATTTAAATGTATATTTGAGCTTCTCTTGACAGCCCGTCACAGGATTAGAGAACTTAAGTTACAACATTTCCCGACTTAAGCGTAAGGGGAAATGACATGATTGTACCCTGTTACCGCCGTAAATACACGAGTAGATTGCCTCTTACCCTGGAGAGGAGAATCAAGACTAAATCTCGGTTGTTGGAGCACTGATCTAGGGACAGAGTCATTACTGGATTCCTAGATCACTGACAGAGCGAGGCATTGCTCAATTTTAATTCCTTTGTTCTATCCTGCCCACAATCCCTTTATCTATGGAAACTGAATATTATCTGCCATTTTTGAGATTCAAAGTAAGGTGAATTATTGTTCTTATAGGTGAGTGATCTCTGTAACGGAAAAAACAGCTGTGTTCTACACGCCTCAGATGATGTATTTGGTGACCCGTGCTCCTGGACTAAGAAGTACCTCGCTCTTTACTGGGAATGCGACTGACGGTAATTATAAACTATAGAGAATCTTATGTTTACGATCGAAGCATATTGCTCCTTAACACTTCAAATGATGACATCTGGGAAATTTCAGAGCGGAAAAAACGATAATATTTCCCAAGCAGAATTTTTCTTGCATAGAAGAAGGTTTCCCATATCATATTTGTTTGAAAAATAATTAGATTTTAACATCACCTTGCTGTTTGGAGGTTACGAACTGCTATCAGAGCAGCCAAAAATGCATGAACCAGAGTTCAAATGAATAACATTTGTTTCTGCTGTTGCTGTGACTGATATTGTTGCTGTTTTTTTCTTTTTTAAAAAAAACGTCATTTTTTAATACATTTCATCACTAATGTTTAATTTTGCAGAGCCTAGAAGAAATCAAGCGAGGGATTTTTTCCCCCGAAAGAGTGTTTTACGTTTTAAAAAATAAAGTTTGCAAATCTTAATAAATTATTCGACCTGTCGCTTACTTGTCTTTTTTCAGTTGTTTCTCCTACCTTATTTGACCGTGTCTTTTACCAATGATTAGCCTGCGATCTTAATTTCCCCTACATCTCTCTCTGTCTAAAAAAACGCCTTATCGCAGGTTAACCAACGATTACATTCTGTCCCCTCTGAAAACAGAAAGCGCGTGTGGGATCTAGCGATACAGTGTATCCCTATTGAAAACGACACGCGCCTCGTGAGAGCAATCGTGTTAAGTATAATGTCCATTTGGAATATAAGGCGGAGAGCAACTGGCAAGTTATGCCAGGAGCCCTGGTTAGGCAGATAACTCCATTGACACCCATATAAATGGAGAGTCTATTGAATTTATATAAATCGTTTACAGAGATTTCATTTGGTACTAGGCCTACTGAGTCCCAGCACTTTTAACTCCTTAAACAGAGCCTTCCTAATAAACAAAAACCACTCATGGTAGACATTAAAGCATGAATAACTTAAGCAAAGCAAACTACCACTTCCCAAGTTGCAACAGTTTCAATTAATTTTGCACAATTTATCCCCCCATTCAAGGGAAACCGGGAAAGTTTTGCTTCTGGAATCCGGAACATTGGGTTTTGGAATCCAGAAAACAGTTCAAGGAATCCGGAATCCCACTAGCGATTGGAATCTGGAGTCCAAGTTCCACCGTCAAAGTCCGGCGTGGAATCCAGAATCCAACACCGTCTTGACACCCTTGCGTCGGACAATATGTATGATGCTGATAGTAAAACCACAAACTAAGTGGCGATAAAGCAACAAATCAACAGACGTAGTCTTCATTTTAGAGGACAATTCTGATAGATTGGAGACGTCACTCGTATTTAATTTTAAAACAAAATCTAGCTTATACGATGCTCTATCTTAAAATTTATTGTGTTACGACGGTACACTACCTGAGCAGACAAGAATCAAATACCGTTCGTTTCAAATGAGAATGAATTGCGGCCATGCTTGCGTTTAGTCCCATAATTAGTTTCAAGGATGCAATTATTTAGCCAGTACTTTAATTACTGCGGAAGACTTACAAACTTTGGGATTTGATTTTTGAAAGACGGAAAAAATGTCAATTAAAAGCGTTTAATTGGATTGCCATGAGAAAAACAAACGCTGGAACATTCAGTAGATTCAATAGATCTGAATGAATTTACATAAAAATGGCTTCAGTGAGTATCTACAAGTCCTCAGCTAAGTATGTCCTGGATAGCAAGAATTTCACCCTCTCCACCCAGGACACTGGGTAACTGTCCGGTGCCTCCCCTCAGCTCTGCATTTATCATGATAATTATTGTCAGCAGAGGCCTGATTCAGCTGGCTAGGGCCAAGTAAAAACAAGGTACTTGCCAGTCAACGCCTCTAGTAAACTGAAAGCATTTTGTGAAAATAGCCCCCTCCCTACCTCGATAGTTTTGCCCCCCAGGCCTGGGACACTCACCCACTGTTAGGGCAGTCCCGGGGTTATCCGCCTGTGCCGACCAAGACGCCAAGCGCCCTACATTTTTGGAGACCGCATTGGCATTGGCATCAACGCTATGTTCATATCCTGGACCTGTTATTGCAATTTAGCCAGCAAATTAAAAAAAAAAAACAGAGTCATCTCAGTAAGTCCCCTTTAATTTCTGCCAAAACATAATCCAGGCGGGGAGAAGAATAACGCAATGCACTTGATGTTAGGAGAAGGCAGCCCAATTCGTCTTAGTTCCTGTTTGAAAGTTACAGGCCTATTCCTTTCTTGTCATATATACCTTAACCTGAACACCGGGAGCCTAGCCTGTGTACAGGATATAGGTAGGTAGGTAGGGGGCGGCTGTACACAGGCTGCCGGGAGGCGGATCCACGAAGAGTTCTCAGGATAAAACTTTTCCCAATGATTGCTCCTGACCATAGTCTATTTTTGTTAAAATCACTGTTTTTAAACAATAAACAAAAATTGCAAAGCTAAAAAAAAGAGGAAACATTTAACTAGTCTTTACAAGTGCTCTCTATACTTCAGGGTATATACCTTGTAAATTCATTTTCATGCTGACTTTGTACAGCCAATGAACGTGTTTAGCGGGCTTTCAAAACCATTCACAAGCAGTGAAGTCGAGTGGGAACAGAGGCCACAGCCCAAATTCAACATTTCTTAACGAGGCCATGTTGATAGAGGTCAAAAATGACATTTCACAGGTACTTCCAGTTAAAAAAGAAAATCATCTTAATTACTGTTTCTCAAGATTTATTTTTGTTTGCCACCCATCCTTCCTTTAAAGTACACATCTGATCTGAGTGACCGTATTAACGAAGTGAATTGATACACAAAGGGCTATACCCGTTTGGATTTCACAACCTAGTTGCATTGGTAATTGAACGACGGAGGTGGCTGCATCAACAGGGTTCTCTTATAAGAAAATTTACGGCCCTTACGCGGTGAAAAAACAAAGTGTCTGACCATTTTTTGATAATAAAGAGACGGCTATTATTATAATCAAGGTAGCCGCATGGCAAGGGCCAGGTCTGGGCCAAATGATTCGTTTCTTAAATGTCGCAGTTATTTTAAACTACGCCAGAAACATAACATTTAATGCCTTTATTAATCAAGCAAACGATTATACTACAGTTTTCAAAAGAACATAACCTGCGAATACTGTTAATTAAGAACAGAGTTGAAGTAAAGGAGGATTATAATAAATATACAAAAAGTACTCAGTACAAAACTATCGCAGATTGAAATCTAATTAGATTATAAAGACATTAACTGAGAAGTTTTCTCATAAAGCTTGCCGTGAGTGAATGTTAAATTCAGACAAACAACCTGCCTGAACAGTGGGTAAGCTGACGCGTTATAATGAAAGAGAAAAGCTAGGCTGCCTTGTCTGCTTTTGTCCAACTGAAAGGTTTGTATGATTTGCTTAGTATTACTAAGAATAAATGGAACGACGATTGAAAGAATAGAATAAGGTTTCCTAACAAGATGAATGATTTAGGCAGCAGTATTTTCTTCATTACCAGTATTTCCTTCACTACTTTCCACCCCAGCTCCTGTAACAGCAAAAGAAAAGAAAAAAAGGTTGTAATTTATTAGTTATTTTATGGTATAATTTACTCGAACAGTATATTTTCACTTAAAGTCGTTATTTGAACATTTAAGGTATATTTCCATCCTGGACATAATGCATTTGATGCTAGCGTCATACATTTTAGCAATCCTATGCAATTTGATGATAAAACGTACAGTAATTTTAACCCTTGGAAGTCAAGCAATTTCATACCCCTCCTACCCCACGGTGTTCAAAAGAGGATGTTGTTGCACCTCCCTCCCCCTCCTGACTTTTTTGGCCTGTTAGAAATTACTGTAATTAAATACTTTATAGTTAGTGTGCGACGAGCTCTATCAAATGAGTGGCACCTGCAGTTTCATTCAAACTAGATTCCATATTGGGAACCACTAGGTCTAATCACGAGATACTTCAAGTTTTCAGAGACGTTGCCAAAGAAAGCCAAAATTTGCCCAAATATTGCGATGTCAAAAGTTGCTCCAATTATGTTTGTATATATGTATCTAGCCGTATTTTTGATAACGTTATCGCCAGATAGACCTTTTGCGTCTAACAGTTATTTTCGGTAAAAAAAGTAGCTATTATAAAAACTAAGAGTGCAACGATTGCTTTTTTCTCTTCTCCCCCTTTCCTTCTCCTCGCTCTTTCTTTTTCTCCTTTCCTTTTCCCTCGTTACTTTCATTTTGAAGCTTCTCGGGCTCAAGAAACGTGCCTTTTGACGCTTTTTCACGTCAATGACTGCAAATTTCGTTAGGTTGGTTTTCAAAAAATCGGCTAGATATACATGTATATTGTATTATATTGCCGATCAACAACCTTCCTTTTTTATAAATTTCTTGTTTTCTTAATTTTCATCGACTTCTTATGGTAAGAGGGCATGTTTCGCACTTCCCTAATACCCCTAGCCCACTGAGAAAGTCGATCCAGCCACTTCCATGCATGGAGCTTTATGCTATTTTCTTTGTATATAAAAGTCCTAACTTGTCTGTCTTAATGTCTAACAGAAACGAAGAAAATTAAGTGGAATAATCGTACCTCACATGTCTAAAAATTATTAATAATAACAATAATAATAATGATAAAATATCAATAGTAATAATAACATTGATAACAGAATTATGTTAGCAAAAGCAAACATTACCTTGACTGAATTCTTTCAAGTTTACGTAATCCAAGTCTGAACAGGCCCTCCTTCTTTGCCCAAATCTATTCTCGAAAACCCTTTCGTGAGTGAAGGTCACGCCGTCGAGATTGTCACACAAAATCCTGGCCATGGAAGATTTTCTTATCTCGTCCAACTGAGTGATTGTAAACCCTGTCTGGTGGTCATCTCTCTCATACCAAAATCGGTCACCATGGCGGAACGCAGAAAACTGCTTTAGTAAAATCGCTGTAAACACGCTGCCCAGCCGACTTCCTGGAGCGGGATACTCTGTTATGCCGCCCATAAATATATCAATATCTCTGACATTTTTGTATACCAGCTGAAATTTTTTAATCTGGTTTTGGGAGAAAGTGTCCAAAAGATCTGTAAACCGAGTGACTCGTCCTAAACCTAGTGCCTCTCGGTACTCGGTGTAGCCCGGTAAGCCATGATCCCGAGCACGCTGACAATTTATGGCAGGAAGATCACCAACAATACCATCAGGGGTTGGTCCTTCGATGATGAGTTGCTCGCGTACGATGTTAGAAAAGAACCTATAAAAGGAATACGACTCTATAAGTGGCTTAAAATCTATGGAAAAGGGGGAAATAAAAATAAAAAAAGAAGCAAGAAAGAAAGAAAAGAAAAGAAAAGCAAAAGACTTAAGAAAAAAATCTTGACCAATGCTTATTGTCCCTCGACCAACAAGGCTGAAGGCTGAAAAGAATGTCGCACTGACGAAAATGGCAGTGATATTATGACAATAAGAACACAGATAGAAATACCTCTAGCTCTCTCTATTAAGTCCCAGTCCCCCTTTTTATCAAGCTCCCCCTTTTTAACGAGAGATGAATGTGGCGTTCTTATAACAATTTGACCAGCACTGGGCTTTAAAATTTTGGTAGGATAACAGGATAAGAGTATAGCAGAAGACAGTGTAATTGGCGCGATTACTTCGATTGGGACATCAAAACATAGTGAAACTGACTGACTTTACCTTTGATAACAGGTGCGGTTAACGCTATTCAGACTCAGCCACCCCTCCCTAAAAAGTTAAATAGCTTCAAAGCCGTTCAAGGTACGATCACCAAACTTAGCGACTTTTCCTAAAAATTATCAGGAGACATTTTATTTAGTAAAGTCATCTCGACGCTTACGTCAACATTGACATTACCACGGCAACCGAGTTTTGACAGCCATGTTTTTCAAATTTGCTTTTTTCCTACAAAAAGGATTTATTTTTATCTTTACTAATTGGGTTTTAGAATTACGGTTAATTTAGCAATATTTCATTAAATTCATTATAACTGATATTGTAATCCAGTCTTTTCAGTGATTGATTTGAGAAAAAACATGAGTGACCAAATGGCAGATTCTGGGTCTAATTTTTAACAGAGATAATTTCTCTCGGAATTTCATAACTTGCGGATTTTTTTTGCTTTCTAAACATTCTTTTATACACAGATCAATTTTTCTGTAACGACTACCTCGATTTATACGGGTTTTTAAGGAAAATGGAATATATTTCATCAATTCGAAATGAGTTCATTATTCCGTGTAATTTGGCGGCCGTATCATGAGCGGTTTTGAAGTTATAGAGGGGGCCTCCCGGTCGCAGGAAGCAAAACAGAAAGGCCCATTCTGAATAGGGTTACACTAAACCTATTTCCCCTGAGCTTTGGGTTCTAATAAATATCGTGTTTGCGGTTACACGCTGATAACTTGTAATGCCCAAGGGGAAAACAACTTAAACACGATTTCGCGGTTTAACGTCCTTTTCTACCGTTTTTTTTTTCACTCTTAATAAAACCTCCATATCAGGTACGTTTAGCGACAGTGATTCAGCGCTTAATTTTGAGACGACAACAAAGAAGGCGTTGACTTCATTCACGCGTTTTCCAGTGCCATTGAAGCTTTTCTTTTCTTTTATTTAGAACCGGCATGTCAGATTGTCGCTCGCCAGCCAACGTACCAATCACCAAAGCTGGTTCCAACTTTTTTCTAAGGAAAGAATTCTCTACTACTGATGCAACGAAAGCATCAAAGTGTCTGGAGGTGATTTTGAATAATTATTAAGAGTAAAAACATTAACACTAGTGCTCGAAATCCCGCAGTGAGTGTCAAACGTTTTAAAAGTGTATTGCGGTGCAGTTAGGCTTTGGCACAGAGAGGAACACGGCACGTGAACAGCACGTGACTTCTAGTGCTCTGCATATCTCTCTGCCTCTTGATTGGCTGAGCTGCTTTGGGTTCTTGTTGACCCATGGATTTTTCATGGGCAATTCTGTAGTTCTTTTTTTTTTACCTATCCATAGAAATTTCCTGGAGACAACTTCAACTATGGGAAGATCGTTCACACAAAAACACTCTCCCTAGTGGACAGTAGCCACACTTCCCCAAAACCCCCCCCCCCCCCCCCCCCACACCCAACAAAACAACCCCCCAACAACAATAAAAAAATAATAATGTAATTATTTTTTTTTTTTTAACCCACACATTATTATTGTCTGCGAAACCAAACTATTCTTCAAAAAAAAATAATGTCATTCTCTTTTTACATTTATATGATTAATAAAATGCAAGAGTATGTCATACACTCTTTACCAACCTCCCCCCCCCCCCCCCCCCCCCCCCCCCCCCCCCCTACGTAGATGTCTAAAACAAGCCCACTCTAATTAACGTTAAGATATATGGGTCCTATTCTTACTTGTCAATAGCCCGAGCTTGTACTGCAGTCAGCCCAATCAAGATTCTTGATAAAAAGCTGAGTTCTCCTTTATTGAAGAATCTTACTGGGTTAAAAAAGTCGACACGAGGCTCAATCTGTTCTAAAAACGGTCTAATGGTTCTATCACGCCCTCCAAACCGTCTAAAAAAGCCGTCTCCTGTCCTCAGCGTAAAAGTAGGACGAATCAGACTGTGACCCATTCTCAGAGCAGCTGTAGAGAAAACGTTTTTGCATTCCGGATTCACATTGGGGTCATATCCGGTGAAGAATGTTCCTTTAGGATTTAGAAGAACCCCAGATTCATTTCTCTGAAATAAATATGTAAGAATATTTTTTAGATGCGCTTTGTTGTATTAAATGTGTTAAGGATGGTGCATTAAATGTAAATGCGCTCCCCGGCCAGCGTATCCTGCGAGCAGAGGCCCTTCGATCTTCCTAGATAAGTCGGGAAGAGGAAGGGACCGACTTATCTAGGAAGATCGAAGGGCCTCTGCTCGCAGGGTACGGCCAGCGATGTACGTAGTTGGTTAAGTTCAAATATTAGAGGACAAATTCATGGTCTACGCATACAATTTATATTCTCTTTAACCCCAATTGTAACATTCATTAATTATCCATCAAAGTCATAACCAATTAATTTTTATATGTAGTATGTGAGTCACATGTACACCTCTGTAAACCCTAATACAAATCAATTAGGTTGGTGAATTTTTTAACGGTAGAATTAACTTTTGATTCAAACTCCAGCTCAGCTAATTAGTATTCTCTAGTTTTTGACACAGATCTATCTACTAACTGTTTCATTTCACAAGTTTTATAAGATATTCACGTCCGATCTGTATGGGTTTTACAGTGGTTCTTTTTTGACTTGCCATCGTAAACTGGCCCATAAAGACCTCACGCTCATAGCGAAGCCTCCGCGTGCGAAGTGCGCTCGGCGAAGCCTTCATTGCTGTAGAATGATGGAAACCAATCGATGCGAGAAAATTTGATTATAACGTCAGCGTACGACCGACAACCAATAGGGACTGGCAGGGAGGGACTAAGTAGATTCTGTAAAGGGAGGGGACGGGGAATCCAAGACATGCATCTTGTATTTGTTTTGGAGAAACGTTAAGCCGTTCTCATAGCGGCAGGCAATGAAATTTTTCCAGTAACGATATTGAATTTCGCTTGTTTGACTTACGACGAAAAGCTTTTGAAAATATAGTTTTAAGGATGCGTGTTTAGCTTAGTCACGCTTTTCAAAAAAAATTCCACATAACTGTTCCATTCCGGAGCCGATAGAAAGAAAACATAATAAACTTATGGCGAACACAAAAGTCGGCGAGGTTTCTTTTATATCAGGGAGCTTTAGCAACGATGAAGGCCGTCCCATGAAAGGAGGATTCTTTTTAGTGGCTTAGAGTTTATTACATTATAAGTTTATAAAACGGAGGCTTCGCTTTTAGCCCTGGCTAAATCTATATATTATTTTATCTAGTACTTAATGTTAAGCACATGTAAACGTTGGGCCAAACGTTCAAACAGAAAGATAGAAAAAATGAAATAATAATAATAATAAAATTATTGGTTGACTACAGTCTTTGAATTCCTTCAAAGTTCACAGTGATATTTAACCACTGCTGTTTGTTGTTGTTTTACATAGCAAAACAGTTTAGAAACTTTTATCAATTGAACTAGGCTCAACTAGAACAAGTGTCCACACTAGAAGCAAAACTAAAGAATTAACTGCAAATACATTTAAAATGTGATATTCCTCCTAAAACTATTAATAAGCTATTGGTACACCAATTATGGTAGGGAACATCACCTAATAAAGTCCTTACCAAACTTTCATCGAATAAAACTGGAAGCCACTCATTGTAGGTGATATGTTGAAGTTCTGCTATTACAATCTTACGCGTCTCTTGAAACAGTGTCTCGTCATCCGCGTAGGGACGGAGTAATTTCAGGTTTGTTGCTATACGGTTGTGCTCGCGTACCCACAAAGTGTGCATCGCCATGAGAGCTATCAATAAAAATACGCAAAGGTTAGTCTTAAAATTTGCCAGCTAAGGGGCGAGTTCTGAACGAAACGTCGACAATTTATTAATTATAATAGTATTAGGGGATGGCATACGCGTTTGCCAGAGGGTTAATAGATGTTCAAAATCTTTATCAATTTATAGACTGCTTGCAGTCCGCCTTTTCTCTTAAAATCCGTCTAGTTCTTATCTCATCCAGCGCATTCCAAACCACAACGTTATTATTACGCCCTCGTTTCTGGCGGTTCCCTGCTTCGCCGCTGGCGTGCTTAGGTTTGCTTAAGTTACAGTGCAAATTGTTTCTGGTGTATCTGGTGTCATCACTCAAATAAACATGCCAGGTGCATATTATTAGTTTCACTACATCTTGCTCTTCTCCTCATTTTTATTTATTCTTAGAAGTTGTTGAAAAGAATATGGAAGAAAAGAGAAAAATGAAATACATAAAAAACAACAACAACAAATGAATAAATAAACAAACAAATAAAAAAATAAATAGATAAACTATTAATAGTGGGAGGAAATTAATACGATACTATTTCAAATTTGTTAGATATTAAGGTTATCTTTGATTTTTTTTCTGGATTTTTACTAGCAAAAGGTCAAGGAGGACTCCAAGGCTTTCCTACCTTGATTTTCATTAACTCGAATATCGCCAGCAAGAAAGCAAGGTTTTTCTTCTGGATTAGGAGATCTACAGAAAGCTTCTTCATCAGCATTCGGAAGTCTTGGTCGGTCTCCAACGTTTCTTAGTGGCACCACATCCAGAAGTCCGTGGCCTTTGGGGCTTCGAAGTCTTCGAGCTACTTCTTCGCTTGATCCGTACACTTGTGACCCATCCATATAAGAAGTAATAATATTTATCTGAAAAAATGATATTAATAATTATAAATCATTACTATATGCCAACGCGTATATGATGCTTTCTGTGCGCTCTGTTTACCTTTTCAGTCTTTTCAAGCTCTGGAATCCTTTTGTTTGTACTAAATGTCATGTGACTTTTCCCGCGCTTTTTTTGGTCGCCCACACAAAATAATGTCATTCAAAAATATATTTTTTTCATATAAGTACTAACTGCGAATAAATTTGTTGTAAATTTCTTCTGAAAATAACTCCGGCTTTGATCTGTGTGTTTTTCAGTCCTTTTCAGGCTCTTAACTTTTATTTTCAATCAATTCTACTCCAACTTGTTTTTAAGGCATCTCCTGTCCGGATCACACCCTGATTCTGAGAAACGATATAAGAAAAAGGATCTACTCCGTGTGTCCTATGTAACTGGACATGGAGGAGTAAAATATTCTTACTACTGACCTGGTTACCCTCACCGTCTCTCAAAGACCTGGGGAGAGGAATACACTGTGCACTTTGGTTGAAGAGAAGTTCTTCACCATTCGGGATTTTTATGTTAACACAATCAGGAATTGGTTGACATGGTGCATTATTTACGCCACAGTCCACGTTTGGAGTCAGCTCTGTTAAGGTGACATCGTGATCTATGAATTGTCCCCAGGTCATTGTCAGGTGGGTAAAATTTACAGCATTATCGTTGCTATTCGCAGTATCATTGTTCCTCAAAGTTTGAAAGCTAACTTTTCTGCAATTTGTGAGTGGCTTAAAATCAACTCCCAGACTTCGTGGTGCTGTACTTCCGGGAGGTCCTTCATAGTCGGAAGGCACCAAACGCGCCAGTGGTCTTTCCGCGGATCCTTGAGTTATGTTGCACAGGTTGTTGCATGTGCCGTCAAATGTGCGATATTTGCTGGATAGGCATGCAAAAGCCGCTTTAAGGGGGCTTTCGCAGTTTTCCCTCATCTTCAGTATATCCAAAGTCTGGCTGGCAGCCGCAGCAGAAGACAATGCTTGTCGGACTTCATACGTGCTGACAATCACAACAATGCATACAAGAATGCTGAAATGAAACAATTAACAACAGCAACTTTCAGTTATTTATTGACCTTAGTTACAAGTAAGCTGAATAAATGCGTACAGAAAAGTGCATAGCAAAAGCTAATCGACGCGGTTGGGTACTATAATTAAATAGATTATTAAAAAGGTACAGGATAACTAGAAAAATGACAATAATAAGAAGATAGAGCGCAATAAATGACACACAAATAGGGAAACAGAAGCTAATTAAAGTATTTATGCTTCAAAGAAAAGATAAATTCGCCAATAAAACATGAGAGTCATGAACGTAAAGGCATACAAGAAAAATATTTTTTTACCCTTTTCATTTCCATTCTCATTTACCAGTTTAAAAATGACAAAACGAATTGACATTAAGGTTAAGGTTCATTGTTGCGTGTATTGGCACAAATTTAGGTGGGGCATGGAATATGATAAATTAAAACAAGTTCCATAAGGAAACCAAAGAATTTCCTTTTGTCTTCTTAATAAATAGATTGATGATTGTTGACTTGTCTTGAAGATCGAAGATGACGTCCAAATGATGACGTAGGAATAAGAAAGTCACAGTCACGTGAGCAGCATACTGTCCTTTTTGGCAAAAACTCCTGCTAAACTTTCCTTGAGGCCTTCACTAATCAAAAATAATCTCATAAAAAGTGTAAACTTTTCAAAACTGAGTACCATTTTGGACAAAGTAAAGGAAACAGTTTTTCTGTGTCGTCAAACTTATGTCTTTTCTCTGATAGATCAAAGGCAACAGCTAAGCATAGATAACAGCTCTCGGCCAATAAGCTCGAGAAATCGGGTAGTTATTGACTGATGAAGAGGTTTGGTACTCATTCGGGAGAAGAGCCTAATAAATGTGTGGTCGGTGAAAAAAGCGTTGTCCGTGAGGTACGTTGCACTGGGAAGATTTGAGGCGTGAAAAGGTATCAGTAAACAGAAAAATTTAATTTTACGAAGATAGCGAGTAACTGTCGGCGCTTGGGTAGTTTTCTCCGTGTTCCTAGATCATGTGAAAATAAATAAATTAATAATAATAATAAACGTCAATACCTTGTTGGTTTCATTTTACTCTTTGAAAATGCTTCTCCGTTTACAACTGTTAAAACAAAATAAGGAATATTTTGATGAATCAGTATTGTCTGACAGTGACACTTGAATTAAAGAAAGAAAACAAAAAATAAGAAGTAAATGTTTTATCTATGGTCAAAAATAAACAATCTAAACAGAACGTAACCAACTGGTAGGGAACGAAGAAACCACTTGGTACAAGCATGGCCAAGGATCCGAATTTGAACCAAGGACGATCGAGAAGCAAATCTACCCAGTGGACAGAGTGCGACTCGAGCCCTGAATAATAGTGAGGGTAAAAAAGATCGCAGCAATTCGGTGGAGAGTATCCTGACTGCTAATCATTGTAAGAAGAAACAGTAAACAGTCTTTCTTATTGGTACCTTAGCTTACCTTATCCAAGATGTAGCAGAAAAACCAAGATAATGGGGAAGAAGTCCTTGACTTGAGGCCACTGTATCTCCTCTCAGGTGAGCTTACTTCTCGCAGTGAAGTGATTTGAGTAGTCCTCTTCCTTAAATATCATTTCTTGGCTGACTTCCTCTCTTTGGGGAGGGCAGAGTCGCTCGGTGTAAAACAATAGTAAAGACCAATATTAGAAAAGGGGTTTTTTAGTGGTTAAGCTCATATGCGTATCTACGTGAAGTTGCAACCTATTTTCAGGTACCCACGCAAACGGTATAGGACTGCTAGTTGTAATATTCTGTTTATTTGTTTGTTCTGTGACGAAAGAAGGATAAGCAATTGATATGGTAATCATTGCTGAAACTCGACTGAAATGGCAATAAAGTGGGCAGTCAGGAACCCTATTTTAGGGCAAAAAGTTGCAACCAAACTGCAGGAAGTTATTTGCTGAAATGATTGAACTTCTTTGCTGCGAAAAACTTTAATTCTGTTGTCGAATTCGTCTCGTTCTGTGCGGAAGACTCCCGGTTTGTGATATTAGTAAGAGGATATATTTATCCAAAATGAATATGGAATGCAATACTAAACTAGGATACATTACTCCATTTAATTATTGGAAGCGGCCTTTAAGAACTAATGGTAATAATATGCTAACGAGTTTGAGGTTTAAAGATAAGCTGATTTGATTTTAATTCCCTTATACCTTTTGCCCAATTAACTTTGACACTGAGGGGGTATAAATGTTCATAGCTATAGAATGGAAATGGGAGGAGTGATTAACAGGTCGAATTTTGTGCCCTTGTGATGTATAAAGCTATCACAAAATGTATACCAACAAACAAACAGTCCTTGCTTATCAACCTGAGAGCAGTACTGATAGCCTTGAGTTCACCGCTCACTTAAATATATTAGGCGTTAATTTTGTATCCATTCACTTCAGGTGACCGCGCTGTCCTTGTTTTATTTTACAAACATACTGCTGGTTTGTGGGTGATAATGATTAGAAAAATCGAAAACGGTCTTCGACAAATCATTGACAAGCAAACAAACTAGCAAATCGGTGTTATAACGTGATGCGCAAATTTGCCCCTTCAGGATTATAGAATACACTAGATAAAAAAAAAACAACATTTAATTTTAGCTCTGCCATGCTGTTTCACAATGTATTGAGTACTACCAAAGATAACATTACTGAGCCAACCGTGACCAATTGAAGGCGGCAATTAGGGTGTAAGGAAGCGTTAGAATAAAAGATTTTTAAAATCTCTTTAAAGCTTAAATTCAGCTAAATGATACGGCTAAGACCGGTTGCTGAGGACTTAGAAATCCTAACTTGTAACTTTCCTTTTTTCTCGCGCTCACTAATTTCGTCAAATAAAAAAAAAAAGAAAAAACGTCTGTAGACAGGCTAATCATGCGCCGCTCATATAAGGATGTTTCGGTGAGTAAAGTAACATTGATCAGTACATTTCCATCTACCATCTAGGTCTGTCACTCAATACTGAGCATTTTAGACCGCTCTTAAAAAAACAACAACCAAAAAAAAAAAACAGAAGGGAAACAAAAGTAACTGAAATGGCGCTTATGCATATGAGCGCAAAGTGATAAAAGTGTTAATAAATGTTTGAAATTACATTTTTAAAAGCAGCCAGTGAATTGGACAATGCTATATTCTTTAGGAGTTTATTCCATTCTGTAATTGTCACCCTGGAGTAGAAGGAATACTTGTAGTGTTATCCCTAATGGCTGTCGACTGTGTGTAAGAGTACTCTATGGAGCGAGTTGAGTACGAATGGCCAGCAGATTTAGTTTGGCATCTTCGTGAGAGACTAGCCTGAAACGCATTTTATACAGCATAGATAGACGTGCTATGGTTCGCCTACTTGCTAGTGTCTTCTATTTCAGGGTTGAAAGCATTTCGGTTACACTATCTTTGCGGCCGAAGCGATTTAAAACCAAACGTGCAGCTCTCAGTTTGGACCATCTCGACCGTGTTTGTGTTTTCAGCTGTATGTGGACCCCACACAGATGAATAGTATTCCAGAGTTGGGCGTACTAGGGCCTTGTATGCTGTTTCCTCAGTCCTGGGTGGGCGATATTAAATTCCGCTTTAAAATGCCAAGAGTTTTGTTAGTTTTGTTGGAGAGTGGTTTGTGGTTTGTGGTTTGTGGTTTGTTCCTGGTGGGGCGCTTAAATAAACCATTTATTGACGAAGTGCATTGAAGTTAAAATTTCTGAATAAATAAAATTAAAAAAGGAAACTGTTATTCTGAGATTGTGGCGATAGCTGGACACGTAGAAGACTGGTAATCATCCTCCACGTCACATTTCAGTGATGACAATAATTACAGGCGATACGGAAAGCACATTTAATCCAAAGAACGGTTATCAGGTTTAAGAAATTTTAATTATTACAACTTTTCTCCCAGATTGTTACAGTCAAACCAGGTCAAGCGTACCCCCCAAGAATACATTAATGAATTTATTATTCAAAAGTTGAATCCGTTGCTAGTTGTAGATTTCAGATTGATCTCTGCATTCTTGCATGTGTAATGAGCCGTGAATTCACAAGCGAGGCAGTTATGAAATTTCTACCAGCTCCATTTTCCTGAAATTGATGTAAATGTCTTCTAAGAAGCTTAATCCATTCAAAGATTTCCAATCTGACCAAATACAGAGAAGTTCTCGTAAAATATTCACTGCTCATTACGCATGCAGAAAAACCGCTTTGAATTTGACACCAGTTACGGGAACGACTAACGGATTCATTTTTCAAATAATCAATTCATTAATAGAATCTTGGGGGGTACGCTTGACTTGGTTTGACTGTAATAACAAATAAATTCAACACAACGCACAGTTTTACTCATAACTGCCTAATTTATGATTAATAACAAGGAAACACCGTTACAGACAACCCCAGTAGGAATGAACCGTATCTTCTGCCGTGATGGCGTTTCGAGAAAGAGCTGATATCTGGTTCCAATATTTGCTTTAAATCCCTTTGATTAATGAGTTCATTTTTCACGCCTGTGAAACTTTTACTGATCATTGATGACGTCATTACATTTTTAAATATGTCGGCTTACTGCTATTTTTTGCCGGTTCCATTTTGCTGCCGGAAAATCGTAATTCATGAGGGTTTTTTTTTTGCATGTGCTGTAAACCGTGGTAAACTGTCACTGAGCATCCAGCAATATTTGCGGCTTATTTCTCATAATTAGTGATTGAATAGTAGTCGACGGACTTAGAAGAAACTAAACTGCTCGTAGTCTCTCCCCGGCCAGTCACATATAAAATTTTCCTTTAGCTGTTATGGACCTCAAGAGCCAGTAGGACACTTGGCGGAAAAATAGTGAAAATTTGGATTGTGACCCAGGAGTTTGCAATAGTCACCCTCATTTTCCTGCGCCAGCTTCCCGTAA